GGCTCATTTGTGGGGTTCAATTTCTCGTCTTATCTCTATTTATTTTTTTTAATCTGGGGCGTATGCTATACGGGTCTACAACAATATTTTCGTGAATTTATCGATTGTGTGTCTTGTCCTAGTCTGCATGGTGGTTTTACTTTTATTGCTTATCGTGGGAGTTGACTATTGTAGTGGCTTGTAGTCAGTGGCTGAGGTGCGGGCCGCGTCGGTTGATTCCTAGACTCTGATTGGCTCCTGCCTTCTATGACATAGGCTCTCTGCAGGTTCACCCGATCTGCAGAGCCATTACATCATTGGTATCTGGAATTGATTGCAGGCTGTAGAAGGGCCAGAAAAATTGTAAAAAATGCGGGAAATCCATAATATATTCAGAGCTCTATAGCAAATCAAGGAATATACAAGATGATCCTGAGAGGTCTAGTGAAATTCAAATGATACTTCAAGAAAGATAGGAATATTTGTGTCAGCTCTATGATATACAGTGTAAAATAGGGAGTATCTTATGCCCAGCTCAGGACTCGTAACCAGCCATGCACAGCATTGGCCCACTCCCCCCAAGTTGATAGGAAAGGTCGATTATACCTACACAGCGAACATTGTGGAGATCCACGTTCTCGCGCCCCCTCCGCCTTTGCCGATGGACAACAGCAAGTGTATCCATGAGGGACCTGCTCACAGTCCGAGCAAGAAGCCTCGCATGACCGTTTGGTAAGTCCTTTGATTTGCACTTACTGACACTTGAATAACATCCGTGCCCGATGCAGACCCATTGCAGACTGACTTTAAAATGGACAAAAAAAGTTCTGTCACCATTTCTATACATAAAATCCCTCCTCTTCTTAGCAATTGTCTTCACCTCTTCTTTCATAGATTCACCCTATAGAAAACTATAGGAAACAATTTCGCAATTTTCGACGTCTTTGGCAATGTGACGGATGATATTGTGACACCATCTGATGTCACACCAATAACTCTGTTATTGCGTCCCAGATGGCGACTGGACAGTCATTTTTAGTACCTAGAAGTGATTGTTATGATGCAATAGGACATTTAACACCTACATTTGACCTTAGGCTCCCAGGCGAGAGGATATAGGTACTTACTTCGACAGTGTGACAGCATAAGTGTCACACGATCCGTCTCATCCGCTGACTGAAACTTGGTGACAATACCGAGTGTAAGCATACTTGCAGAACCGCAGTGTACGAGGATACAGGCACTTGTACACGTTGATACGTCAGGTTCTTGCCTTTGCTTGATATCACGACTGGTCGCAAGGTATACCACCGGCGACAGCCGGCGCTTCTCGAGTATTCAGGTTCTCGTCGGAATAAGCCGAACGAGCATGATCAGTTACATCCTCTTGGTATCCCGGCAAGGTATGTCGTTGTCGCGTACACCCTGCTCAAGTCTGTAGCAGTCCTCTCCAGGGAAGGTTAGACTTGCAAAATGGTTTGTCACGATGCCGCCCAAGCAGAAAGCAAAGATCGTGAAAGACGTTACTCAAATGGTGCTTGCGCGCAGAACCAGGATGTGTAACTTCCTGGAGTACAAGGGTACGACCGCCCTGCTGCCGGCCTCGTTCTGGAACGTTAATGCCTGACTACAGACACGAAGGTCGTCTATCGACGTTATGCCTCACTATTCTTCGTCTGCGGAATCAGTGCCGGAGACAACGAACTGGTCACGCTCGAGATCATCCATCGTTACGTCGAAGTGTTGGATCGGTACTTCGGCAATGTGCGTCTATTTCTCCACAAGCATTGCATAACTTCTCATACTCAGACCAGGTCTGCGAGCTCGATCTGTACGTGTGGAGCCTATCATGCCGCTTGCGACGCTGACGAACCCCAATAGTATCTTCAACTTCCAGAAGGCATATGCTGTGTGTGCTTTCGCGATCCTCTCAAAGTTGTCACTGAAATGTCGCTCTTCATTCCAGATCTTGGACGAATTGATCATTGCTGGTGAATTGCAGGAATCCTCAAAGAAGTCCGTACTCCGGGTGGTAAGTGCGAAGTAAATGTGCTACAGCACTTCCGACTAATATGGGACACGAATGCAGGTTACACAATCCGATAGCATCGAAGAGCAAGAAAACAGTGAGGATACTATGGCACGATTAGGTTCGAGAGTCGGTCAGATGTCGAAGGCCCTCTAGACCGTCGGTCTCTTTGACAGCTGCCGGCCACTTTCTGTGAGGGGACCGATACGAGATAACCTCCGCAGGTTCGTGGCACCTGTGTGATCGCCAACGCGACGAGGGAGGATCGGAGAGCACACGATGGGTCCATGCCTTGATCGCCCAGACCGCTGTATACCTGTAGACGTCTGTGTACTGTATAGTACTCCTGTGTAGGGCCGACACCCGGTGTCCTCTGGGTTGCCAGGAGTGTCGCCCGGCATTCAAGGAACATTCAGGAAGAGGTCTTTGAGGCGCTCGGATTTGCCTTGCCATTGGATTTATTCTTGTTGAGAACGTACCAACGGACCAAATCGAGCGTAGCAATCGAATCTTCCACGGATGAGTGACCGACAGTGGCACCGCCGGCTTGGATAATCTGGCCCAAGTGCTCTTTGACACTGTAATGTCAGTGGTTAATTCACAGGGAAGCAACATCAACAATGGTGAGGCTCACAGTTCTCGCAAGGCCCGTCTATAAGGCGCCCCAGCGCGATGCGGGAAAAGGACAGCAGTGTCGACGCATCGATGATGGATCATCCTCAGCGTCTTCAGATCATTCTCTAGCGCATGACCGACCATGATTGTCTCGGAATTGATGAAAGCGTCCAATGACTTCCGAATTGAGGCCAGGGGCAGGACGGCTTTGGCATGTTCTTCAGGCGTGATACCAGAGAATCGAGTGTTGTAATCACTGCGTTTGATTAGCACCTGCAGAATAAGTAGGGAAATGGATGGGGAACAGACATCACATATACTCCGTCATCCATCCTCACCAGCTTGTCGAACACTTCGGTACCAGTGCCATCCACCACTGACACGCGAGCCACTCGCATTCCGCCTGTTGTATAGATCATTTCGCAGTCCAGTGCGACTACGTCAAGCGCAGTATCCTTGGCGCCCTCTCCCGACGTCGCCGGTCGGGAATACGAGAAAGGATGCCTGGCATGTAGATCTTCTGGCTTCGTCTCATAGAAGACGTGCGGGCCTTTGTGACAACCCCCACTTTCAGATGTTGGCTTGCCACAACAAGTGTACAGCCGCATTCTCTCGCCTAGATGATATTACTCTATGAAATTCAATAAACATCGGGAGGCAAGCGTGCTCACCGTTGACCTGCTTGGTATATTGTCTCCCCCAGTGATAAGTGCATTCGTCCGCCAATTCTTTCCGTTTAACCAGAAACTGTTGTCCGCACCGCTCACACTTCGCAGGCTGGCCCTCTTCACTTGGCCGATCTCCGCCAACACCCTCCGGTATCTCGACTATATATCCCCACTTCTTCATGTCGTCCATGCTTAAGACCAAGGGCTCCAGGTGCTCCCGGGTGAGCCGTAATGATTCGAGAGACTTCCGTTGTTCCTCGCGCGTGGCGATGTCTTGCTCCGTCCCTACGGAGGGGTGAGATATCGAGTCGGGGATCGGCCGTCTCTTCAATGCAGCAACAGACGATATTACGGCCTATCGCCGAAGTTAAAAAACATCTCATTAGTGTGGAACCCTACTTACATTCCTGTAGGTAAGTTTCGTTGACTTCTTGTACACTTCTTCCTCTTGCCTTAGAGCATGTTCTGAGGCTAGTATCGGATTAGAAGGGAGGATATTCTGGTATAAGACCACATAATGGTCGTATAGTGTCTTGACCATGGCCTATGTCGACTTGTCAAGCTGAGGCCCGTAACAGGCGTGCAGTTCTCACCTGGCGAACCGGAATGGCGACATGAGACTGCGCAGCATTGACTCTGAGGATGGGTACACCTGTCTTTCTCAAGGTTCAACGAATCCGAGACGCAAGGAGACTGTCGTAAGACTCACGGAAGTAGCAGATGCGGTTGGTACGGCGACAGGTCTACTTCCCGCACCCGTCTTCTGTAGTTTCCGTGGAGGCTCCGAGGAGGTGCTGCCATTGCTTATCGCCCCAGGTCTGCGTACTGGTTCAGATACAGTAGGACGCTTTGCAGGTACGGTAGGCTTTGCTCCTCCCGCGGGCGTGGAAGGACCTGGCTGTGGCGTCGGTTTGGGCTCATCTACTGGTATATTGAGAGACAGAGTTTCGGACGCATCTGGTCGATGAGAGAAGAGACAGCGTGGCCTCTTGCAATTGTTTCGGTCGGGACATGGCAGCTTCTGAAACAAGCCCAGTAAAGAGAACATAACTCGGTGCTGCCAGACTCGGACACGCGTTGAGTCTCAGGCACTTTCTTGCTATCTCCGCGTCTACGAGGCGGACGGATTTCGGACACAATATACCCAACTTGTAAGATTGAATGGTCAACTGGTCGATCGTGGCGGGAGTATAAAGGCTCGGGTCTTATCGTGTATACTTGACGGACACGTACGGCACTGTGAGCGACCCCAGATGTCAAGGGCTCTTTCTCCCGTCAGCTGGGGCGACCAATGGCTCGTTCAACAGATGAGAACGGGCACACGGAACCTCTGAACGGGCTCAGAGAACAAGTCAGCTGATTTCCGTGTACTAACGCCAGCGATTGGAAGCACTCGAGTATCGGACAAGAGGGTGGCCACGGCACTGCCTCTCCTTCGGGCCACAATCTTCGTTGAATCTTCGTCCAGTTTTCGAGGCGTTGTGGTCGGATTAGGGAAGCATCGACGGACGTGTAGGAGGAAGAACGTGCCCGGTGACACTATGAATGGATACACACCTTACGTTGAGATCCGCTGTGGTGGTATTGCCGTGCAACTCGGTGGCTGCCCTCGGCCGGCTTTGTTTTTCTTATCATATGGCGCTGACGGTATAAAACTCCTCTGGCATCACTCTGTTCTTGCATGGCTACCATGGCTTTTCACTGTCAGCACGTTGTTATGGTCGATGACCAGTTCCTCAATACCCGCCACTCGCCCGACAGCCACTTCGCCAATCCCGCTGCTCTAGCCGCTGCCCGCAGACAGTGGGCTCAGACTCGAGACAATCCTCTGAACAATGTACCTGTCTTTGGGCAGAATCCCTACCGCAATGTCTGGAAGGGATATAAGCGGCCTGATCCTCGTGTTCATTCGCTGCCGGGTCCGTCAGAACCAATACCGGAGCTACCGGAGCTGCAGGTACAGTGTTCTGAATTGACTTGGCTGGAAAATCTCGGTGGCGATTTTGAAGGAGAGCACAACTCCTGTGTTTATAAAGTGCTCTATCGCGGCCGTGCATATGTGCTGAAAGTTGTGAGTCCCCTCCCTCGTCGTTTATTGGGCTTCTTCTGATTCGAAACAGTATCGGCGTTATCCGCGTGCTGAGGACGAATGGTCGAACGGTGTCGATGGCCCTTCGCGGTTCGACAACGAGCGGAAAGCGTATGCGAACCTCATCCACTTCGGCGTTTGCGCAGACGGGTTCGCTCCCCGTTGCTTTGGCTGGTTCAGCCTTCATGTTGACCCCAAAGCTAAGTGGCTGAGTCCCTTTGCGAACGACCCGGAGCCACCAAACGCCATTCTCCTCGAATTCCTTCCCGAATCCGAGCAGATGAACGTTAGGAATATAACCTATGAGGTCGCGCAGAATGCCATGTTAGCATTAGCCCGTGTGCATGCTGCTGGCGTCTTGCACCGGGACATAAACCCAAGAAACCACTTGGTGCTGCCCGAAGGGAGAGTTGTGATTATCGATTTTGACACTGCCTTGTCGTGGCCAGACAAGCGGGTGAATCGCTTGGAGCTGAAGTGGGAGAGCGAATCCGCATGGAATCTATACTTCCAGCTCATGGTACGCGTACCCTTCTTGAGTGGCAGTACCCGCGCGAGCTAATGATGGCTTTAGTTACCAGACAAACTCATTGGGCTGGATACATCTCAGACGGCGTACTGAACTTAGTTCAGCTACCGCGTCGTCATTTCGTATCGTCATCACATAGATACTGCAGGACAGACCGCTATCATAGAATACATCATAATTCTATCCAAAGCCACACTACTGTATTACATTCCATTAACGACGTCGATGTCTACCGTGTCGTCTCGACGGTACGCGCTCGCAGGGTCATGTCGGATTTTTGCCTGCCATCTTCGCCAAGTACTATAATATGAGTATGTAGCGTCTTTGGTCCAGCCGATAACATACGTATACGTGTAGGAGTAGCCGAAGTCAATCATTTGGCGCCCGTGTACACGGTAGTTGCTTGGCTTGGTTCTTGGTTCTGAACACACCCGCCACCGTGGGCTTGGACCAGCTGTGTCGACTGCTGACGACGCTGAACACTAGCCCCCAACAATACTAGAGGAGCACCATAGGAGTCCGTTTCAGGCAGCCGGCGGTTCTATGTCCACGGAATATGGCTTCAAGAAGCGCGCTCGCGCGGGCTCGGTGAAGGAGACTCTGGACGCTATCGAGTGCGTTATTTTTGCGACCGCTGTGCGATTGACCCATATATACCACTCGATCGGACAGGACGGATCCCACTCATCACCTGGCTGGGGCGTTCAGGCCGCAGACGTAAGACCTTCGATTCTCATAACCACGCCCAGTTGCAGGTAACTCATTTGCATGATGACGCCTCGTAGACCTCTTTCCGAGACCCCTCGGCGGGCGAAGGCCCTTTCGTTGAAGCAAGAGATCGCACAGGCTGAAAAGGCTCCAAATTACCCCCCCTCTGGAGGTCTCTGGTCTGACATCAAAACTTGGCAATGGGTCGTGGTCCCTTGTAAGTCTCAATGGCTTCGCTGGTTACCGGTTGGAACAAAAACCTTGGTTTAGGGTCGTCCTTGAAGCTGCTCGTCATATTCACTCTGGCATACTTGAACTGGGCGCTGATAACGCCTTACGTCGCGCCTGGTCTGCCAAACCCGTTCGAGCCGCTGTTGTTCATCTCCCACCGAGTGCCCGGCTCGCCAGATGATGACCCTCGGTACCAAAAGGGCTACCTCGACCTCGTCTTCATTGCATTCTATATCATATTCTTCTCGTTCACTCGGCAACTTATATGTCTGCATTTATTGATGCCTCTGGGGAGATGGTTCGGTATAAGAAAACAGGGTAAGCTGGATCGGTTCGCGGAGCAGGCCTATACCGCCCTGTACTTCAGTTGTATGGGACCGTGGGGTTTGGTGAGTATCTTCGTGTCGCAAAAGTCATCGCTGACCGTATCGAGCCAGCGCATCATGTCACAACTTCCGACTTGGTGGTACAAAACGGAGTACTTCTGGATAGGTAAGTTGTCAGAAGCTCTTATTGCTGTAGCGTCTCATACTCGCTTTTGCAGACTATCCCCACTGGGATATGAAGCCCGAGTTGAAGCGCTATTACCTTATGCAGTTTGCATACTGGTGTCAGCAGCTGATTGTCCTCGCTTTTGGTCTTGAAAAGCCGCGTGTAGATTACAAGGAGCTCGTGGCCCATCATCTAGTAACTCTTTGGCTCATTGGGTACGTGATCCGTGCGCGTTTGTCAGTGCGAGACTCATGTATTTATCAGATGGAGTTACTTGATCAATCTCACATTCATAGGCAATGCTGTCTATGTTAGCATGGATATTCCGGACATCTTCCTGGCCGTAAGTTGCCGAGATTGAAATCTGTGCATATCCCTAAATTATGGTTTACAGTTCTCCAAAGTGTTGAACTATCTCCAGTCCAAATACAAGGTCGTCTCGTTCGGGGTCTTCTTTGTGATATGGACGTAAGTTGGCATATACAGGGGCGTGTTGCTTCTCTGACTGTGACCGCGATTGTCAGTTATTTCCGTCATTACTTAAATCTGGTCATCCTGTGGTCTGTCTACGCCGAGTTTGACCTTATGCCGTGAGTCTTGTCGTTGGATGGCGTCGAGAGGATCCTCATCTGTCTCCAGAGAATCGTCTAAGAAGTGGGACCCGCCCCAAGGCGTCTGGATGGTCTGGTGGATGAAATGGCAGATATTCGTGCCTATCCTACTCCTGCAATTCTTGAATCTCTTCTGGTATTACTTCATGCTCCGGATCTTGTGGAGGTAGGTCTCACACATCTTACCTTGGCCATTACTGACACTGCTTGCTCAGGGCTTTGGCGGACCCCGCAGGAGCAACGGACGTGAGATCTGACGATGAAGATGATGGCGAAGATGAAGACGACGACAAAGAGGACTAACAACGCCCACGAGGATCGGCCGCATGAGCAATACTGTTCGTTATCGTAGATACAACTTAGATAATACGAATCTTGATACCATACACATCGTACCGATGAACATTTCGCTGTCATGGACCGTTGGAACCGCAAACAGTCATGGTTGAGAGAGTTCTTGTTCTTCTCGTAGCATCTGTGCTTCAAATGCAGGGTCGAGCACAGCTGTCGGGTCTCCGGGGAGCGTGGTGACTTTTGCTGGAGGCATGAGACCTTCCGAGTCTGAGTAGTCGTCTTTCTCTTCCCATGGCATGAACTGGACTTTGACGCCATTAGCGCTCCCTTCCGTATGGCCAGGCCAACGCTTCTCCCTTTGTATGTCAACGGGATCGCCAGAGGCCATGGACTTGAGTGCTAGCAAAGTGTACTGTCGACGGGAAGAATCTTCTATTAAGTCTCATGGGACGCTCAGGGCAAAGATGGATACGGACGTGAGAATCATTCCCAGCATTGTGCAGGTAATCCGTAGGAATTTGAAGATGTCTGCACATCTGCTCCAGACTACGTTTTCTGGCAGAGTCTCCTTCGAGGGCGGCGAATAGGTCTGCTGTGTCGACAACGTATATACCTTCGTCAGGGGATACGTCTGGCAGGGCATAGTTCACGAATCCCAAGGGTGCCTCCACGGATTTCGACTTCAAGTAACTAATTGAATTCAGTCACGCCCAAGTGAGAGATGACAACGCCTACTTGATATCCGATCTAGCGTCGTGGAACACCAGGAAGAGGGGTCCTGTCTTTGTCCATTCAGACAAAAGATCGGTGATGCGCTGCTTGAACGCCTTCTTGCTAATAGTCTCGCTAGTCCCGAACAAGAAGTTCTGACACGGTGTATGTCAGCCTGGCAGGGTTTCTGCGTTCGGAAAGCAGCGCACGTCTCGGTAGTCCGGTACGTATGTACCGTTACTGTACGTTCTGTTCTCCTTCACGATGAGATGGCCTTGTTCGTCGATTTCCTTCCCATTCTCCCATCGTATGAGACTCCAGCCGAATTCTGTTAGGACCGTGTGGTCGTACTCCCATGACTCGAAGTCAAGGGCACACCATATGCCTGTTTCTTCGGCCCAGAATGTCCGAACCCTTTCGAAGAGATGTCTACGCTTCATGAGCACGCCATCTACGAACCGCAGGCGTTTATTGTTCTTCTCAATAGTCTGCGTAGGCTCCGACATGAAACTGCAGCTGCATCACGGTTACTGATTACGGGACGTACTTTCAGAGCCTTCTTCAACACACTTGCGTCATTGTAGTACATCGGAGATACATTGCGCAAGTGTTCGGAGGTCAACAGAGCTTCTGAATTGGGTATAGGAATAAGATCCTTTGTTAATTGCATGGCATGCAGCCAGTATCGTATATATTCCACTTGGGCAGACGAAAACATCAGACGCGATTCTCCATTGTGCAGTGTCCCTAAGCAGAAAGAAGTTTAGAGAGGAAAGGTTTATAGAGACAGGAACATACCCATGAAGAGCTCCACGCCCTTTGTACTGTCCGCCATCAGGGGATGATCGGGGTGTACCAATGCATCGTATTGCAGCACAGATTTAAGTGTACTGATATCCTCTTCGTCCGGTAGTGTTTGATGCCTGCGTATCTGAGGAATTGGGTGGTGTGGCGTTATGGGCCGGACTCACCACTCAAACCATATGTCCGAGAACCTATAATAACCAGTCAAGACCGGCGCCATCGTGGGTTGCTGAGGAGTACTGGCGGATCTTTCGTCCGTCGACATGATGTTAAACAGGCTTTTATAGGGTAGGGACGAAAGCTTTGGCCCAGTGGCACAAGGCGCGAGCGCAGTGCCTTGCAGGCCATAGCGCGGACCAGTCACGAGAGAGCCTTCCACAGCTTCGACGCGTCGCGGGACGCGTATGAATTCAAATTCCGCGACTTCAACTGCGATACCACAACCAACTGCTGCCACCCTTTTCGCGTGCAATCTTCCCTGCTTGGCTCTACTACTCTTCTTGGTATAATGGCGCAGACTGCTCAGAAGGGTGGTACGAGTGGCAAGCGTAAGGACGTGGGCAGCTCCAGCGCGCGGGACTCATCGCCACCGAGAGCTAAGAAACCCAGGACCACCCAAACTGCACGGAAAAGCACGGGCGGACTTAGACGTATGCCTGCCCCGCCTGGGGGTGGAGGTGGAGACGGGGGTGGAGGAGGACCGGGCCCTGCCGCTGCTGCCGCTCCTGGAGGGCCAGGGAAGAAACGGCGTTTCCGCCCGGGTACTGTGGCTCTTCGTGAAATCCGGAAGTACCAGCGGAGTACAGACCTCCTCATCCGTAAACTCCCTTTCTCTCGAGTGGTCAGGACATTGTCTGCTACCTCATTATTATTCGTTGAATTATAATACGGCAGGTGAGGGAAATTGCTATGGACATGACGACCGACATGAATCATTATGGAGATGTGGGTTTGCGGTGGCAAAGCTCTGCAATATTGGCCCTTCAAGAAGCAACAGAAGCCTTCCTGGTTCACCTCTTTGAGGACGCGTGAGTGCCTTACTCTGTTGACTGCTACACTCCTTTATTCATCATCCATGCCGCGGCAGCAACCTTTGTGCTATTCATGCTAAGAGAGTCACGATCATGCAAAAGGACATACAACTTGCACGCCGCATCCGAGGTCCATGGGGAGGCGTGGCATAATGTGATATACATTCATCTCGACATTCCACATTCCTTGTTGTAAAACTCATCCCACTATAGTTACATTATGACCCAGGTTCTTCGATGCACCGCTGCGACACCCACTTCCTCTGTATTATTTCTGTGAGAATATATTGCTCGATCTGTTCGTTCATGATCAGACTATCGGGTTTTACTGGTCAATGTCTCGTCTGAATATATTGGAAGGCAAACAAGCATAGATTGCAGCATCATGCAAACAAACAACACTGAGCGCGGTATAGTAACACAGATGGCATCCAGAGGACCGGTCATGGAGTTGTAAAGACAGTGGATGAGCATACTGATTCGATAGACGCGTCGGTAAGGCCAGCTTCGAGATCAGCAGCAGCAGCCAGTGACGCAGAGCTAGAGACAGCTTCCGTAGACGCCAGAGTCAGGGTCTGAGACCTTGCGTTCAATTGAGTATCGCCTCTCCTGAGTCGACGACGACGGCAACTTGCATGCAGAAGAGTATCGCCGAGAGCCGGAGTTGAGTAGCGTCAGGAATAAATCAGGTTCCGCAGGTTTGTCCAGGGCTCGATAGTCAGAGGCTCCGTAACGTATATGGGATACCAAGTGGCGCCTGACGTCTGGAGAAATCGACACACTGTCGCCGACTCGACCAAGGTCCGATAGGGAAGAGGGTCCATGAAGCGCAGGCCTCGGAACTTTCAGTGTTGCCACAGAGCTTGAGCGATAATCCGTCGCTGGAGCGTCGGAACAACAGACGTCGTAGGGTACCCGCCTGGACCTGTGAGGATCAGGCTGCCCTTCTTGGCGGTCCGCCATTGCGCAGAGCTCAGTGCTGATGGACTGAAATAATCTAGAAGATTGCCAGAATAGCCAGACCCAGGATGGAGCCTACCTGCAGAATAGTATATATGTCGGTAATATCTTCCCCGCGAGCAGAAATTTCTGAGATCAACCGCTCGTTCTTGCTGTCAATAGTCTGCAGATGCTGCAATAACTCGTCCTGGTTGTTTCTCGAGGCTGATTCCATTCTGTGCTGACAGCATTGAATATTGACGAGTTGCTCTATCTGGCGGGAAATTAGGAGGCAGGACTGCAGAGACAGCTGTGGATCTCACGTCGAATACTGATATAAAGTCTCGGAGGGCTTCCTGGCAAGTCTCTAGTTCCACGGCGTTCTTGCTGGAATGCATTACTGATTTTACCAACCCTTGCTGTCCCACTTGCACTATGACGGCGGATATATAATGAAATATTCTATCCCACCTTGTCAGCTAACGATATGTTCTCGCAGCTCCAGCTACTCACGATTCCAATTTCTCCACGCCATGCTGGACTTGTTCGTCATGGACACAGTCAGCCACAATGATGGCTTGTAGTCGATCGACCAGAAATTGACACCTTTCGACCAAGGCCGCACAGCGCTTCTTGTTCGTTCTGGCACTCGCGTAAGCCTGATAAACAAGCTGAAGGGCCGCGAAGGCAGTATTGAGCAAAGCGCCACTCATCGAAGTTTGAGCCCGTTGGAGTCGGTTAGTAGACACCGTCGGAAGTCGACGACGCGGGAGTGATAGCCGCCGAAGAAGCAGTGGGTATAAAAGCTTCGATTCTGGTGTGGCTATTGTAACGATAATACAACGTTGGCTGACAGTAATTCTTGTTCTAAGCCTTTATCTAATACACGGAGCTGAGGAGAAGTAACTACCTGCTATTAGAATGGTGTAAAGTACCTGTAGCGACTGTTACAGAAAGCGAAGGAGAATCGTAGATCTCGCGAGTAAGAATTAACGGGAGATCCTGTCATGAACGAAAAGAACGGAGGGCCAAACGAAGGGCAGCGTGCAATTAGAATATTACACTCATGCAGAGACGAGAATAGAAGTGCTAGGTAGTCGGGTATGAGTCCTTGATATCTTCAGAATGACACGACACGATGCGAGACAGTCCATGCAGCCAGAGTCCGAATATATAACCAAAATGAAGTAGAGATGTGAACCTTAGAATATGACACTTTGTCGGTGATGACTTGCGGGAGACCGAGTTTGAGCCATGCCTTGGGCCATCATGGGAATGGGGGCGGCGGTGAAAGCTGGCGCACCGCTGTACATCGGCATGGACGGTGGCATGGTAGGCTGGACAACCCAAGGGCCGCCCCATGATGCGCTGCTCACCATGGTAGGCCTAACAGGCGTTGAAGGGGAGGATGACGACGCGTGGCCGCGGAGACTTGAATATCTTCGCTCGACATCTGAACCGGAGTAGCTCCTGCCCTGATTGGCGAGCTGCCCCCGGTGAGCGCTCGTCCTATTGGGAGATTCACCACCCGACGGGCGCCGCTCATGGCTGCGGTGCGAGTCACTTGCGACTCGGGTAGCGCCAGGTGACCCGTGTCCATGGATCTGGTGCACACGCTCTGTGCTGTTGTTGTTGCTCCGCGTACTATGAGGTCGGGAGTGAGAGGATGACCGAGAAGATTGCGAACTATCTCTTCGATCCTTTGACCCTGAACGAGAACGAGAGCGGTGGTCACCATACCCTTGGGTCATGAATGGCGCATTCGGCGGCAGCAGTGGCATGTTGTCCATGTATGGACTGGGGACACCATAAGGCGACATAGTCATCATGGGCATCGGCGGTACAGCAGGCATACCATACATGCTCCACGTTGACGGGGGAGCTCCAGTGGAAGGGCTATCCGCGTCCGAAGCCGCAGACTGTCTTCTCGAAGATTTTCTGCCCCTGTCCTTGAGACGAACGTCTTCGGTGGACGCACCACGAGTAGAGTGCATCGAGACGGGTCGATGATGAGAGTCTGCGACGCTTGGAGGTCGGGCTACGCCAGGTAAAGGAAGATGCGGGTCCGAAGCCAGCTTGTCTTGTCTGTGCCGTGAGGAGTCGCGCTTGGAGCGAGACTGCTCGTTCTTCTCGCCCTCGACAACGGAAGCCGATACCCGACGCGCGCCAGTGCGTTCCTCCTCACGCCTCATGCGGGCAGCGACTACCTCCTCCTTGAGCTTCCTCTGCTTCTTTTCCTCCTCCATAGCCTTCTTCTCCCTCTCCCAGGCCTTACGCTCTCTTTCCCATTGGAGCTTCTCCTCTTCATGCTTTCGCCTCTCTTCCTCCAACTTCTTCTTCTCTGCCGACATTCTTCGTTGTCGTTCCTCCTCGAGGAATCGTGCCTTCTGTTCTCGCTGTTTCTTAACACGTAGTGCATAACCAAGGGGTATGCGATCAGCGAGATCGTCGGCCGAAGCATCGTGCGGTTTGGGAGAATCCCGCTTTGCCTTGACAGTAGGAGGCTCCAATGAAAGTTTAGGGTATGCTGGCATAGGAGAATCTGGGGACGTAGGCGCAGTTGAGGGACTGGAGGGCATTGAGCTCGATGCAGGTAAGGAGAGATGTATGGCGGCGGATAACGAGGGAGTCTCCTCGATTCGCAGCGGGGACGGAAGGGTAGATTTGCCGTTCAATTGCGGGTGGCCTGAGGTTACAACTGCACTGTCAGCACTCATTGCAAGCATGAGGCGGCATAGATCGATCATACCATGAGAAGAATCACTCGAGGCGGTCGAAAACGGTACTCGTGCGTCTTCTATTGAGTGAGACATAGCCATCGGCGAGAGGGAAAGTTCCGGGGGTTCTTCATCGACAAGCAAACCTGCCAGAGCTTCCAACCCCTCTGAGAACTCCAGGGACGCTACGCCATAGCCCCTGCCGTTGCCCGATACACGTTTGCTCACGATCACCGGAGCATTATCCGCTGGCTCCCACACAATCATCCGATCTTCGAAGCAAGGTCTGCATGCCCACCTTCTCAGGCCTTCGCTGAAGCGTTCGACACGCTTGGACGCTACGGCCGCTTCGGACAAAGACGTCGCAGAAGACTTTACTTTCATAGCTTCCGACGATTTTGACGCAAATGGAGCGATTGACAAGGCCTCCGACCGGGATAGGTTGTTTGACTGTAAGCGACGCAGAAGTAGCGTTTTGAGCATGCAAGTCCGCGCAGTGTCTTGGAACGGCAGACCCCGGGCCGAATTACAAGAGCGAGGAAACAGAGGTCCAGATGGGGGATGAAGGCAAGGGGGAGGAGAGAAGGACGGGGCAAGGCTACTTGATATCACCGACATCAACCTTGTCTGGGATAGACTAAGGCTGGAAGGAGTGAGCTGGAGGTCTGGCCGATCGACCGCTGCGGACTGTCCACCATCACGCTCCTCCGAGGATGTGTCATCCTCGGAGTCTTCTGCAGGTTGCTGGCGATCGCCGGGGATTGGGAGTGGAGGCTGATACAACGCTGGAACAGGGCGGGCGGGAGCCTCCCACTGGCGAGCACGGGGCTCATCGGGTTTATGCGACGGGCCTGTTTTCTTGCGTCCCAGCCATGACATCAGTGCTTTCTTCGGCTGCTCCTGGGGAGCGTATGGTCCAGCATCGTCTTCGGGAGTCTGTAGGCTGGCGCAACCGCTGGAGGAAGATGCAGACGAGTTGGCTTGGGCGAGACTGGGACGCTCGGTCGAAACGGTGATGTGAGCGGTCGCGTTTAGGAGCCGAGAGTTTGACTTCTTCGGGGGTCGAGGGGGAGCAGGCTGGTGGCCGTCTGCAGAGGCACCGGCATCAGACTTGTCAGAACGCTTTGCGAACACAGAAGCAAGACGTCGCATTGTAGTGGCCGGAAAGGAGGAAAGTGAGGGCTATCAAAGCAGAAAAGTCGCGAGCGGGCACATGGGTCTGACCTAGCGGCTGAACTTATGGACGGCGTAACCTGGACACTGAATGACGAAGGGCCGAAGAGAATAGTCCGACAGAACCGCTGCCGGGGCCGACGACGACGGGAGGGACGACGACGGCGACGATGGACGTCGAGAGAAAGGAATAAGTTACCACGTCCCCGCAAGAAAGAGAGAACAAGAGGCCGGAGCCGCCCCCGGATTAGAAGCAATTCCAGAGAGACCAGCGCGAGCGTTTGTGGAGCGGGCCAGGGCAGCCACCCGAGGCGAGCGCCCTTGCCGGCATCCATTTTGGGAAATTCTCCCACACGTTCCCCTTCTGGGACGTTCGCATCTCCCATCACACACGCTCAGCGGCACTGGGTACCCTCTGCCGGACGCGGTCGCACGCAGTTCCATCATGTCGTTTGAGCTCATGCTACCTACGAGAAACAGCGTCATCCTTCCCCCTCTGATTCTCCCCTGCTCTTCCTTTTCTCCTTCCGCCGGACGCTGTCCCACCACCTGACGACCCTTCTCTCGAACCGCTCGACCACCGCGCACACGCATTCCTCGCTCACCCCAGCCCACATCGCAGCCCTGTCCACCACTAGCTGCAAGTCATCCGGCAAAGCACCGAAGACGTCCCGCGAGTTAAAGATCTTGTAGGCCTCGCCAGGCCGTAGATCGTCCGAACCGGAAGCTTGATGTAGAGCCGTCGGCGGAAGGACACGACCTGATGGTTCCCTCATCGGGACTGCGGATTTCTCTTCAGCCGTGGCTCCCTGACCAATGGGAAAGTAGTCACGGACAATATCACCGAGCTCGTCTACTTTTAGTGTGAATGGTGTATAAATAATTGTGTCATCGAACACGATCATTGAACTTAGCATACCTTCGTGTGACTGGCCCCCACCCAGCAGTGCTCGGTGACAGAAATTTATGTATTCGTCCAGCATTCCATCCGTCAGATCCGTGACATTCCTGTGACCGAAAGGTGACCACAAAGACCGAGATGTACGGATTGCTCTTACATTCGTGACGTCGCCGAAAACAGAGCATCCTTGCTTTCTGCTGATTCTGCGTTAAGCTCCTTCACATGCGCAAGATATTCTTGCAATCTTGGTAGAGCACAGGTCGGGTCCTCCTTCTCATTCGGCACCCTGCAGTGTGATCAGCAAGCCAAAATAGCTACGTGCATCCATGGAGACAAGAAGTATAGGAGCTGAAATACCGCTCACCTGGCTATCCCATCTAAACCATAGACCATGCGCAATACAATCACCGCGGCGGCAATTAAGGACACCTCAGGTGGCACATTATCAAACTTGTGATAATGCTCAGGATCGGACCTCCTTGCTTGCTCTAGTTTGGGAGCTAGAGAATAGTGAAGGCTAAGTGTAAGAGAAAGCGTGTGGGATAGGTGCTTTGTCAAAATGTATAAAACAGCTGAAATTGCGGGGCCGTGTGACTTGAGCGTCCACTTAGATTGTATACGATCGGATGCAAATACGCACGAGTGCCTCCCAGCCCGCGTACGGCCCTCCACAAGACAGGAGCTGCGTTTAGCTCAGGTGTCCATATTCCATACGACGACTGCATGGATTTAGCAAGCCGGGATACTAACCCATGGAGAGGCAGAACCTCAGGGGCATGCTACCTTTCACGGCATATGCTTTCGTCGATAACGGCAGAATGCAAGATGCAGGCTGACTTACGTGAGGCGAGAGGGCTTGCACGGTCTGTTTGGTCAAGTGTACCGTCATGGAAGCAGGAAGGATTCCTCGACGAACAGGATCCAGATACGGCAACTCGTAGGTTTCAATGATTCTGTGATAGGACGGGCGCATTAGTCGACCGATCCGGTCGGACAGCGTAGTTGTCTTATTGGCCAATAAGAATGCCCACGCACTTGATGAAATCCTGGTATATCATAGGCAGCCTCATGGTCCAGCACGCGAGTACAAGTACGGCGATGGTATTCGCGGGCGCGTCGTATTTGCCGTAATTCCGATGCTTTCCCTTATGCTTGGTGCTCGACTCGGTTTGAAGAGGTCTTGTGGCGGAATCATCCTCCTCGGACGACGAAGACTCAGAGGCATCGCGCATCAGCGCAGCCATTTCAGGGTCGTCCTCTGTATCGGTAGACTCTGAGGCAGAGGAAGAACTGTCCCTCTCAGTATTCGCGGCCTCACCCTCGTCGCCATCCCCACCACCTTCTGTGGGTGTCTGCGTCTGTCTCGGAGTCTGCAGAGATGTGGCTTGAGTGGCGGGAGATACGTCACCCTGCTGCTCGTGTGCGTGGAGATAGGGTTCGGCTGGTGGAGGATTGGGCAGGAGGCTCAGATGCAGGGCCCATAGATCTCTACATACGGTCTGTGAAATGCAGTTCACCATCAATTTGTATAACATTGACAATATTTCCCAGACCTCGAACTCGGCGGGCAAGTCCCATAGCCTGACAAGAACCGATATTTGTTTACGGAAGACGAGCTGAAGACACTGGAAATAATGGTAACGTGCGCGGGGTCCATGATACACTGGTGTCGCCAAGCCGTCCGAATAAGAGGGTGCAATCGGGGGATTAACGCGGCCATTACTCACATAGAGGGTTGGCTTTACTCGCAGTTTCCTTTTTCCTACGATTTGATTTGAGTGTCCTCTTGCGCATCGCGTGCGGCCCCAGTTCCGTGGTCTCATTTGTCTCGCTCCTGTAGTTCTACTCAGAATATGAATTTGCCCGTTAGCCCGGAGGTGAAGTAGCGCGAACCTGCAGGACGTGTCCCTCGCTACATGTAATAAGTCCACTCGATGGCTCTTTGTGCCATTTCCTCGAACCGCACACAGGGCATTTCTTGCGAAGTGCCATGTTCCGTGACTGACGCCGGAGTGTGGAACGTAACCCTGAAAATGGGTTACGCGCGCGCGAAGCACTCGATCAGTCACGTGGTTATACGCCTCTTTCGCCAGCGCGACCATGCGACGCGCATCGACTCTTCCTTCAGCTCTGCCGTTACACCAGTCCCATAATATCTCTCAGTGTCTCTGCAAGAGAGATCTGCAATGCGGTTTGTTTTCCTACTGCTGACGGTGCTGGCACTGGTGTCGGCTGCTTATGGGTGAGTACCTCCACCTCGGAGTGTTTCCTGGACTCTTTCAGCCTTGACAGCTGACGGTCCTCACTTTCTTAGATGGACTAAGGTGCAAATTGTTTTACGCTCATGGCCTGGAGTGGGTATTGACATTTGACATGGGAAGGAAGACCACGAGATCTTCGACCTTACAGCGCAGATAGAAGCCGCGGAAGGTGCGCCCTCCACGTCTCGTACGACTGCTACACATGCTCACCCTTCACCCGTTCCGAAATCATCCAGGCAAGGGGACGACATTCTACTCGTGGCTAGAGGTACCCTCCACCGCGTCCGTGGCCGAAATCAATAAGGCCTACAGGAAGAAGAGTTTACAGCTCCAGTATGTGGTTCATCTCCGGATCTTTTCGCCCGCTTTTAATCATCTATCTTAACTATCGCGATTCATCTCCGCGATGCTTTTTGCAGTCCGGATAAGAATCCTGATGTCAAGGGTATCCATGAGAGGTTCGCGCGGCTGGGTCTCGTCGCATCCATCCTCAAGAGTCCAGCCGGACGGGAGCGGTGAGCAACCGATTGCCATGCGCAAAAATGGCTGATCATTGCCGAAATGAAGTGAAGACTTATTTAATCTGTCGCCCAACTTAGCTACGATTTCTTCTACAAGAATGGCTTCCCGAGGTGGAAAGGGACCGGCTATTATTATTCTCGCTTCCGTCCTGGTCTTGGAGTGAGCTACCTCATGTCACCGATTTGTCTGAGACTCGTGCACTGATTGTGTTGGCCGTTGCCATTGTCCCAGAGCGTCCTCGCGTTCTTGATCATCTTGAGCAGCGGTCTACAATATGTCGTCCAACGTCTCAATTACAAACGGGATGTGGAACGTATTGAACGTTTCATACGCGAGGCTCGGACGGCCGCTTGGGGCCCGAAGATGAATCCTTTGGAAGGGCCAAGAAAGGTAGGGTTCACCGGATTTCCTTCCACGTATCAATGATTGAAAATTCTGTTTTCCGTCAGGTAAAGGTGAATATTGGAGGGCCGCCAAGGTTGGATGAAGATGGCAATGTTGTACCCGGTAAATTCATCGACATGGTCGTCGACGGCCAAGAGGTCTTCATCGTGCGTTGTCTCTGCTACCACCCCATGTTAGTGTGTCTCAACCGTCATCTCGTCCAGCTCGAGTCGGATGGCAGCCGATTGCCTCTCGATACTTCCGCAGCTACTCCTCCCTCCCTCAAGCGTACCTGGTTCATCTCGCTTCTGACGTCGCAAATTTCAAGAGTCACAGGCAGACCCGCAGAGTCGCCGATGGACGAGAAGGCTGAGGTTGATGCCTCAGTTGATGACGAAGCCAGCGGCGGAGAGACCACCAGCACGGGGGATGTGTCTGAAGGTCCTGCCAGGAACGGGAAGCCTCTGGCGACCACCAAGGCAGGTGGCAAGCGGAGGAAGGCCGTGCGGAAGCGGTGATGTTCGATGAGTGTTATTCATCCGGTCGTTTGTCCTTAGACTACGTAACGAGCTTGAATTCCAGACAACGTGTCTGATCAGCGAACTAGACAGCAGTGTATCCGACCCGCGGCCGCTAACAGTAGGATATTGGCGCCTATCGGCTTGTCTCGGCGCCATGAACTCTGCAGCAATGCATGCCAGACGACGACCACGAGCGGTCCAAGCATGCCGGGCTTAGTAACAAGCCGTTTGCAACAGGGCCGCTGATATCTACCGGGACGCTAGTCATTGATTAAAAAATGCAACACCTTTTACCTGCCGACGTCCCCCTGAATTTTGCTTGCGGCTGCCTGCAAGCTGGGTCCCTTTACGCTGTTGGAGTGGAGCTGACCGCTGTTGAGAACGGTCTGAAATATGCACCCCAGTGCCTTTGAGCTCGCATGCCGTCACTCACCCCGTTGTGCGCAGGCTTCTCGCATACACAGTGCTGAAGATCTTCCCTGCGCGGTAAGTCGTTCGGTCGGTTAGTCTTCTGTTGAGACTCACGAGATCCCAAGAAATGCTGCCGCCTATTTGGCCCAGAGCTTGAGATGCCCCGGAGAACTTGAATAGGTGTGTCGTCCATTAGGTTGCACAGCGACAGGAACAAGTGGTCATTAATCCCTTAGCAAGCACAAGTGTACTCCAATTCTACGGGCTCACTGTTTGATGAAAGGTAGAGGTCCTAACTTACGAAGGCTTTCCAGATACAAAGATATGACATGCTACACAACTGGTGATGCCTTTATACTTCATTGTTGAGCACCAAACGACAGCCACAATCTATAACTCCGATGATTATCCACTGATTAGATTCTGGCGAGGTCGCTCAAATTCGAACGGCGACAGAGGCAGCACGATGAGCCGGTCGCGGGGTATCTGCTCTTCTCTGGAGGCATCTTGGATGAACAACTGCCATCTTTCTTACGTTACGGGATATCCGGAGACGTGTCCTCTGGTTCACCTACGGACCCCTTCAATCCTCGCACAACTTCAGAGCGGCCAGTGTCACGGAACGGCTTCCGAGGTGTGGCCTTGGCAGCATTGTCAGAACATGAGTTTTATGACAGATATTCCTACAGCTCGATATGAATGTACGAGTCGTAAGTCCAGTTCAGCTTCCCAGCATTACTTGGCCATGAAGTATACATGCCAAGCACGAGAGTATGGGGTAGTCGGAGGTACTTCATGGATGCCACCCGGTCCGGACAAGGCAGTAGCATGCATCAACGCCCACGGTTAGCGTCTGACATCGATGGTCCCTACCCAAGACCATGCCCTAGTAGAGCAGTCGAAGCTCAAGTACATGTATGCCAGTCATGAGATGCTGCTACAATGTATTAGCATGGAAAGAGAATGATACGGATCGTTCTGGCCAGTGGCCATGTCGCGGAACGGGTATCAGACAATTGATTCAGGGCGAACGCGATTGGGCGGGGCGGGCTGGGGAGTACGGCAACCATTGAATGGGGCCCAGATAACATCGGCCGATATCTGGCGCGTCGGAACGCTCGGAAGCGGGGCGGACGCGCGACAGTAATTTTTTGCAGTCGCTCGTTGAGGACACACAGCATGCGAGCGCGCTGCTGGCCGCGACAGAGGCATGCAGAAAGGCGTAGAAAGGGGGGCAGAAACCGGTCGAAACAGGTGAAACGGACGAGGACGTCCGAGGCGGGGCCGGGGCCGCGGAGAGCGCCGCCTGGCTGTACTGGCATGTGCCTTGGGTAAACAGACGTAAACAGGCCGGGCAGCACATCTTTAGCCTGAGAGGGGCGCCGGTAATCCTTATTCCTCTCTCTCTTGCTCCGTCGCCTCCTCACTACAAACATGGCCTCGTCCTCTCCATACCAGTACCGCCCCGACCTCCTCGCCCCCTACCTCGAGCTCCCTCAGGGCGACAAGATTCAGGCCGAGTGTAAGCGCTCTGCCGTCTCTTATCGGCGCGTTCCCAGCTTATCGCTCCTTCTCTAGACGTCTGGATAGACGGGGATGGTGGTCTGCGTTCAAAGACGACGGTACGTTGCGTCTTCTTGCCGTTCTGCGCCCGCCCACGCTGCGATTTCTCCGATCTTTCGTACTCATCCTGAATGACGCTGTTCTAACTCGCCTCTGAATAGACTGTGAGCAAGAAGGTCACCGATATCGGCCAGCTCCGCATCTGGGACTTCGACGGCTCCTCGACCAACCAGGCACCCGGCCACGATTCGGATGTCTACCTCCGTCCCGCCGCCATCTTCAAGGACCCCTTCCGCCGCGGCGACAACATCCTCGTCCTCGCCGAGACCTACAACAACGACGGCACCCCGAACAGGACGAACTACCGTCACCATGCCAAGAAGATCATGGACCTCGCCAAGGACCAGGAACCCTGGTTCGGTATCGAGCAGGAGTACACCCTCTTCGACGTCGATGGTACCCCCTACGGCTGGCCCAAGGGTGGTTTCCCTGGTCCCCAGGGCCCTTACTACTGCGGTGCCGGTATGCATAAAGCATGGTCACTGTCCCGCTCCGCCGTCTAACGTATCCCTCATAGGTACTGGCAAGGTCTTCGCTCGTGACCTGATCGAGGCGCACTACCGTGCGTGTCTCTACGCCGGTGTCAACATCAGCGGTATCAACGCCGAGGTCATGCCCTCCCAGTGGGAGTTCCAGGTCGGCCCGTGCGAGGGCATCTCCATGGGTGACCACCTCTGGATGGCGCGTTACCTTCTTGTCCGCATCGCGGAGCAGTGGGGCATCAAGGTGTCCTTCCACCCCAAGCCGCTGCAGGGTGACTGGAACGGCGCGGGCGCGCACACCAACTTCTCCACGAAGGCGATGCGCGAGGAGGGAGGAATGAAGCACATCGAGGCTGCGATCGAGAAGCTCAGCAAGAGGCACGATGAGCACATTGCTGTCTACGGGGAGGACAACGACCTGCGGTTGACCGGTCGCCATGAGACGGGCCACATCGGTACTTTCAGCAGCGGTGTCGCCAACCGTGGCGCATCCATCCGTGTACCGAGGCACGTCGCTGCCCAGGGCTACGGCTACCTCGAGGACAGACGTCCTGCCTCCAACATTGGTACGTGTAGATTCGAAGTCAGGCGCTGCTCTGTGCTAATGCTCTGCCAGACCCGTACCGTGTCACGGGCATCATCGTCGAGACCACCCTTATCAACTAGACGGCGATCGTCATCGGTGTTCTTAGATCGTAGAGTTCTCGATTTGTCTCTAATATTTGTCAATGGACCATCAGGCTGTGGTAGTACTACTATTCTTGACGGTGAATGTGGACGCAGAAGTCTGAGACATTGTACATCGGGTTCTGGAGGAATAAACAAAATAATTTTTGACCGGGATAGGGGACCGTGATGCAATGTGGTGCAGCGGAGGTCATGGGGAGCGGGTCGAGCGTCAGCGACGGGCTCTGTGTCAGATGGTCGTCGCGTCAAAAGCGAGACGGGGCTCAGGCTTCCCTCTGCACAGCCTTCGAATTCCGTCATAGATCTTGCAATGCTCGAGGGATCGACATCAGCCTCGCGTACTGAGCTCGTCTGCCATCATGTCGGACGCCTCGACCAGCGACCAGAAGCTCTCCGTCGCCGCCTTTCTCAAGGTTCTCACCGACCATGGCATGCCAGTCCCAAGGGCGATGGCTGCCGCGGGCAAGATGTGCGTACTTGGTGCTCCCTGCATTCTGACTCGGACTCCAATGGCCCGTCCCCTAGACTGAAGAAATGGAACACCCGTGCGGACTTGGGCATGCTGACGAACTCTATGCTTGCGTTTGCGGGCGTGGACGACAAGAAGGACCGGAGGATGGTCCTTGAGGCGCTGAAGAAGGCGGGGATCAAGGAGACTGCGCCGAAGAGGAAGCCTGTTGGGAGCAGCAGTACCAGTGAGTCCGCCGGCCCGTCCTCGTCTGCCTCGGTGGTAAGTGGTGTCCTCGGTTATAACGGTACCAGGGGTTTGTGCTGACGTGCATCCAAGGCTCCCCCGCCGAGAAAGAGACGGAGGAAGGATGAAGAAGGCAACGAGTTCCTGCCGGGCAAGCCTGCGGACGAACTCGAAGGAGCATCGTTCGGCAGTCTGGAGTTCAAGGAAATAATAGATGAAGAGGCAAGCTCGGGTCGCTTCATCATCCTTGTCACTTCTGACCGCACGCTCTACCGGTGTTCCTCAGTTGCTGCGGACAAAGTCAACCGTGATCAACCGCGCTCCGATTATGATGGCCTGGGCCACCGTAGTCGCTGAGCGACTGGGCTTTAAACGTGAAGAAGCGCTGAGCATCGGTCAGTTGCCTTTCGTCGGGCCTCGCACTCGATTGACAATCGCATATAGCGTCCGTGTATACCGAAATGAACGCAGTAACCAAAGGCGTCTCCATTGGCATATATGGACAGAGCAAGAAGAGCGAAATACCTGAACCAAGCAAGGGAGGCATGCAGCCGTACGTGGAGCTCATGGGCAGGAGGTGAGTCCAAGATCTGCCTTTGCGGAATGGAGCCATTTGATGATCCTCGCCGCTACCAACTCAGAATGTTTGTACTGTCTTTTCCACCTGCATGTACCTTGTTGACCTCTCATGCTTCTAGTCCACTCTACCAAACCGCGTCCAACGCGTGGCTCGGCATGGCAGCCAACAAACCCACCCCTCCAAGCTCTGCATACTCCTACATCACCCGCTCCCTCCGCCAAACCGCGCCGCACGTCCTCGGCGCTATGCGCCTGTTAGCCGAGAGCTACGAACCCGACGAACTGAACAGGAAAGGCTTCGGCCTGTACTGCGAGTTCAGACCCGAAGTCGGCGGGTGGGGCGAGAGAGGCGAGGTCAAATGCGAGACTATCTTGCAGCTGAGGAAGAAGAAGCAGGAGGACCCGAGTGGCGGGGTCAAGTTGGAAGAAGGAGAGACGGACCGTGAAGCCCTGTCATCATCGACCACTGAAGCAGGGCCTCCCGTCAAGCAAGAGCCTGAGGCAAACCAAATAGCCCCCAAAGTAGAAGTACCACAGGCGAAGCCTCTCGATGCCAGGGCGTCAGAACCGCCAGATGAATTTGCAGACCCAGAGTATGACGCTATTGACTTCAGTGCGCTCGAGATACCCTAGTGTATATCTGGCACTTCGATCTACTAGGACGTCCATTCTCACTCGGGTATGTCCATTAGTGTTATGTTCTGTCTAATCATAACAGACGAATAAACAATACAGTCTACCAGGCTATGCCTTTTTGGACCACCTCCCCACCGCACGCCTAAACGCACACATACATGGACCTATGCATGCAGGTTCTTGATAATCTCAGCGGTGAAGTCCGACGTCGTAGCAGATCCTGAGAACATAATGGACAATGAGCGAAGTATGGAACGGGACATGCTTGCTTCACGAACCTCCCATATCTGCGGTCCTGACTTTGCCTGCGTTGATAACGTTGAATGTCGAGCTTGCAATGCTGTTAGCAATGTTGTCCAGCCTGCAATATCCTCGGTATCAGCGGAACGAAAATGCACAGATGGATCTACGATGCGCACCCCAAGTGTCTCAGCATCATGGTAGCGCTGAGGATCATAGCGGCGGGGTTGGCACGGTTAGTACCCATGATATCCTGGGCGACGTGACGGCATCCGGGCTCGAACAGGGCATAGTCCTAGTATGAGACTTTAGATAATGCTTGTCATTGAGCACTTCAAAATCCACTGACCCTGCCAATATTGCAACCAGGGACGATACCTGGGCCACCAACGAGAGCCGCGCCAATGTTCGATACAATGGCACCATAAAGATTGGGCATGACCATAACATCGAATTGCTGAGGACGAGCAACCAACTGCATGGAACTAGGTCACAATGTCAACCAGAATCCAAACTTATTGAACGCTGTTCAGGAACTCACGTATTGTCCACAATCATGTCATTGGCAGTGATACCCGTGCTCTTGTACTCCTCGGCAATACGACGGAAGGTGTTGAGGAACAGACCATCACCCAATTTCATGATGTTGGCCTTGTGCACGCAAGTAACTTTCTATACAACCAGCACCATATGTTCCTACGCGGTCCCAGGCACAGGCAATGCGAGAAACATACCTTGCGGTTGTTCTTCAGCGCAAAGTCGAAGGCGAACCGGCATATCCGCTCGGTCTTGGCCCTCGTCGAGACCTTCAAGCTCTCAACAACACCGGGGTAGCTCTGGTGCTCCAGGCCAGAGTACTCACCCTCGGTGTTCTCACGGATGATGGCGAAGTCGACGTTATTGTGGCGGGTGGGGAAACCTGGGAGAGACTTGCAGAGGACGACAGAGGCATAGATGTCGAGCTGCTGCCGCATAGCCACATTCCATGATATGTGGCCAGACTGGGAGATAGGGGTGAAGAGGATACCTGCGGATTGCATAATAAGAGATGCGCAAAACTAGATTGCACCCTGTCCGCAACTAACCCTTGAGCCCGACCCTGTTTCGCCGTAAGCTTTCCAAGGCCTGCTTGAAGAGGTCCTCGCCGGAGGAGGACATGCCGGATACGTTGTACTGCTCCCACTCAATGGGAGCGTTCACGTATTCGAAAATTTCCTTGACGGAGTCCGTAATTTCTTGACCGATACCGTCACCAGGAATGAGGGTGACCTAGTTAGGATCGTCAGTCCGAGCAGGACGTGCTCAGCTGGGTGCAACATACCGTATAGACACCTCCATACTTGGTCGGTAGCTATTGATACGTGAATTTGTATTCAGGAAGACGATCATATGAGTGACCCCATACCCTCTGAGCGACCTTCGGGAAACCAGCAGACAGGGTGGTCGCCGTCCTCTTTTACGCGAAAAACCATAAGTCCTGGTCAGAAAACACAGATTCGAGCAGCTTACGGCGTGGGTGAGCGCAGGGCGCGTAGACGAGGCGAGGGCGTTGCGAATCATGGCCGACGTCGAGGGAGGTGAGGGAGGAAATATTCACAAAGTCGGGAGCAGCAGGAACAGTTGAGGAGGCAAGACTGCTCCACGTGCTAACGCTGGACCCACGTGGGAAACGTCATCGTCGTTCGGCAGGTGCGCTTGCTCTTTCCTCCGTCGCGTCTGAGCTCGAGCGCAGGGCCGCAGTCTGCACGTACTTACAGCAGGGACTGGCCACGAATACTGACACTAGTTGCCTTTGATCTGCGTCTTCCATCGAGGATTCGGGTCTCTCTGTACTACTTTCTCCGGCCGCCCGGGCGGCATGGTTGTATCCCATCCGGATGGGTTGGACTTGTACCGTTCATCAAGGTCACTTGTGGTAGCTTCCCAGATCATTCTCCGGGGTTAGCTATTCTTTAAAAGTCAGTATACATTTTTGGAGACCAAGTACACGAAGTCGCCGAGTAACTCGTGGAAGTTAACTATCACCCAAGCATGTGAGAATACCTAGGCCTCCGTAACAATACTGGAAGCATTCTGGATATAAACCGTCCAAGTATGCCTCATCACCACAGATGATCCTATCCTGGTCTCCAGGCCGTCTGGGTGACCCTATAGGATAAATCTAGAATGCTCTGCCTTCGCACGAGCAAATTATGCGTTCGGCCTCGTGAGAGGGGCTGGCGGTCAAAAATCAAAATGAAGAACGTCTCGGCATTATATCCACTTCCATCACATTCAACTATCAACCCTGTCCTCGGAAAGGCCTCGTATACATGCTCTACTATGCCACTCGAATCAGATCTTCGGGGCTCATTGGACTGCAGGGGACGCGACGGTGGCTGGCGGTTTCGCACGTTAATGGACGATCGAATGCCTTACATAAGCCAAATTTCTGGAAATGGCATGCGGTCGTTCGATCCTCTCGCAGGGAACCAACAGCGCGAGAGCCCAGGAAGTCTCGAGTTTGGCTGGCGGTTAAAACTAGGCTCCTCTCCGCTATGGACAGCCGTCCCCCTTGCGACTTGGCCGGGCAGCTCGACCCCAGGATGTCTCAGGAAGCGAGCGACGTTGTACGCGACCCGTCTGAAGTAGCGTTGGCAGCCCGCAAGCGAGACGTGTCATTCTACCTGGTCCTCGTCTTCGCTGTCGGACCCATCTGGTCGATTGTTCCTCTGTCATGGGCGTATGTTGTCTACAACTTATGGTCTGGAAGGGTATGGTTCCTGTCCTGGCACGAAGCGGCCGCCTTCGGTGCGGCTGTATGCGAGGTAGTCTACCCGGTTGACTTCATCGTACAGTGCTCATTTACGCGTTATCAGGCGTTCTTCAGCATATATTACTATCAGTTGTCAAGATACGTCTCTGGTCCTTCCCCACTTCCGGCTGGGAATCTCGTCGAGCTCCAGGCCGCCTTCTCTCGTGTTCTGCAAGCAGGCCTGGCCTCCCTTCCCGAGGATGGATTCGACGAGGAGACATTGGAAGACGAGCGGCCTGGCAGTCCAGCGGAAGCTTTGACCAAGCTTGAATACAGCGACCCTCGAGCGATTGATTTCCGTAACTGCTTACGGATTTGGTGAGCACGCAGTGATCTCCACCACCCGTGTTACGCGGTTGCTTACATTCACTAGGTTTGGCAAAGCTCCCTGGTCCCAGATCCACACTCAGGAAGTCTATGCATGGTTATATTGGTCCATATTCAACGAGGCCCTGCCCCCGTTGGATAGCCTATCACCTGCACAGCGTGCCGCCCTTGACGATGCCCTGAATATGATCGAGATGCGCACTGGCTCTACGATTCCTCGCGGATCAAACCCTGATATCAAGCCCATTCTTCTGACATTGGACCCTGTCAACGTCTCGTTTCGTCCGCTAGTCTGGTACCTGTTCGTAACGGCTGCCAATTACAGTATACGGAAATGGTGCCAGTACGGATGGGGAGCTCAGTTCGGGCGATACAAGAATATGGAGTACGGCCCTTTCTTTAGAGACAGAAGTGATGATTTGACGAAACCTGCCTCTCCAGGTATATGGTCCGCGTACCCGAAGGGTGGAGCCCAGCGACTGGTCCCCATCCTATCGTCTTCCTGCACGGACTTGGTCTCGGTCTGACCCAATACAAGCTCTTCCTGACCCATTTGCACGAGACGTTCCCTGACCGGCCTCTGCTCGTTCCCCTGCAACCACAAATTAGCCAAGATATATTCCACCCCCGGTTCCTGAAACCCATGGGTCGACATGAGATGGCTGACACGCTTGCCGAGCTGTTGAAGAGCTTGAACTGGGTTCGGGATGTCAGCAATGAGGATAGTGACAGCGAGAAGGAAACCTCAGACGAGGAGAGAAGTAAAGGTATCACCCTTCTGAGCCATTCCAAGTATGTTTTTATTCTTGGTGCCATGCTCGACATTTCTAAGCCGGGGGTTTTAGTGGATCATACGTGCATGGTTGGATGCTCAAGTCGCATCCTGAGATGGTCTACCGATCCTGCTTCGTAGATCCCGTCACATTCTGCTCATGGGAGGGCGGTGGGTGTCTAACCTCCCTGCTTGGACCTCGTTCCTACTGAATTGACTCCCCTCTCCGCAGACGTCTGCTACAATTTCCTATACCGTCCCTGCTCCAACGTGAGTACCACTCATTCAGCGTGACAACACTTGCTGATGCTCGACGCGCGTTTCTAGGGTCTCGAGTTGATAATGCGGTATTTCGTAGGCACTGAACTTGGCGTTGCAAACCTGCTGCAGCGGCATTTCGACTGGTCCTCCAACTCGCTTTGGTACGAAGAGATACCCAATGCGCGTGACCCCGCTCGGACCATGTTCCTTCTCGGTGGGAAGGACGCCATAGTTAATGCTGAGGTAAGCTTTGTGCTGAGTTGTGGTCAGCGCGATTTCCTCACAATCGTGCCGTTTGTTGTCGCAGCGAGTGAAACGATACCTGCGCTCTCACGGAATCCGCAAGGGTCTATGGTACGATCCGAAAGGAAGGCACGGGCAGGCTTTACTCGCGGGCGGCGAGGGACACGCGGAGATCCTTCGCTGGCTGCGACAATAACGATCTGACGCGACTATCCGATGTTATCGAGTTTGCTCTGGCACATTACCGTAGACGTACAACACTATCGGGATTTTGTAGTTACATCTATACCACTAATGTTACACAAGTAATTTATCCTGTATCTTGCTTTTGAACATGTACTGGCGTGTGGGCGTTCGGGTCCTCAGTGGATGTACAGAGCTCCGAAGGTGTTTGCAGGTTCGAATGGTGAGTTCTTGCAGGGCGTTTGGAACGGCTTGTCCAATCCTGGGAGGAGGCGAAGCGCGTTCTTGTGCATGACCGCTTGTACTGCAGCGGGCGGTTGGTCCTTGAAAAAAGAATCCGCGTTCTTGTTGAACCATTGAACCATTTCCGTCGAGACAGCTGTGGCCACAAAAAAGCAGTATACATCAGGAACGTAGGGCAAGGACAAAATGATGCGCTTACCAGGTATGTCGGAACCAAAGAGGAGGCGATCCGTCGGTACGAAGCTTTGGATTGCAGCGAGTGTTGTCTCGTATCCGCTCAGTGCAAGCTCGTAATAGAAGCTCTTGAAGTCTTGCAATATTTCTTCGGGCGTCAGGGGACAGCCCATATGCCGAGACAACACGGCAACTCGAGATGCCAGAAATGGGACGGTGCCGCCGAGATGGGCCAGGATGATCTTCACATTCGAATACTTCCGTTTCCTGCCGGTTACAACCAGCTGTGCGGCGGCTCTGAAGGTTTCGTGGGGTACCTTTGATGTAGGTCGGATGAATTCCGTGCGCGGTAGTTATGGCGCACTTTACCTCGACGATGGGGATCCCGAGGAAAGGGTGGGGATACGATGTCCGTATCTGGGCGCCGTGCAGGAATACGACAGCCTTCCGTCGGTCCAGTAGATGCCAAATGGGGTCTAAACGGTCGTCACCGCAGTAAACTGCAAAATGTTGGTGAGCGGGCAGATAGGATAATCTAGAGCTGTACCTCTATTGTCCGAATCTCCGTACGACGAGGATAGGGCGATTCCGTCGGCACCTAGGTCGTCCATGGCATAATTAATCTCGTCCAACGCGCCTTCAGGCAACCATGATCGTCAGTTCTGGCGCGAAAGAGAGGACCCGCGTACCTTCGACGTCTCGCAAGTCGGGAAGGGTAGCAAAAAATCGGAATCTATCCGGGTGTGCTGAGCATACACTGGCTGCGTATCTGTTATATTCTCGAGCTTGGAGACGCGAGTACGTTCCAGCGGGCAGAGAAAGGACTGCTTTGCGGATGGCCAGTTCGTTCATCGCTTTTAGGCTGATATCAGGAGACCAAGGCAGGTTTTCGGCGGGAGTCTTCCAACCGACTTGTACGTTCTGGTCTGCTTTCTTCAGACTAGAAGGAAAGAAATGGTGGTGGAAATCTATCCGTTCTCCTGAAATGTTCTGTCATATCTAAGTAGACGCGAAGGTAATGCCGTCCTGTAAACTGACCTTACTTGCGGACATGGTGGACACTGGAGGTAGGAGGAAGGGCCACTGGCAGTAGTTGGCTCCTGGGTTTGCGACGGTAGCCCTTCACATGCTGAAGTCGGGCAATATGGCTACGACAGATCTGCGTCGAGGGGCAGAACGAACGTTTATCAAATTCGGAGGCTTATAGGACACCAGGGATGTGATCCGCCATAGTGACAGATCGTGTGGCACTGCAGATCATGGCTTCTTTGTATTCACTACTTAAGTACATTCACAATACACTTCGACACTGCGCCCTGCTTGCTTTACTTCCTCCTGTAATCAGCGCATTGCTCCGAGTCCCAGCTCACAAACTGTCCGCTCAGCGACTTGTCCGCCTTCACGGCGAGCGCTGCGATAACATGCCCGCTGTCTTCAGGTTTGACAAGCTTGCCATTCTTGTGCGCATCAACGAATCTAGCATAGTCTTGCTCTTTCATCTGCGAAGCTCCATCCGACCGGAGCATTTCTTGCATCTGTGGCGGAGGTCTTAGTTTCTTCACAGCTTGCAATGGCGAATGAACATACACCAGTGTCGACCATGCCTGGACGCAATGCGACGCTGACGACGTCAGGCTCTTCCTGAGCAAGCGTCCTGGTATACAGATTAATTAAAATCCCCGAGGCCGTTGCGTTGAGATGCTGACCTGCATAGACTATTCATGGCAGCTTTGCTTGCGTTGTATGCACCCCATGCGGCCATACCACCAACAGCAGCCCCGGAACTGACAAAGACAACTTTACCGCCTAACTCACTCTTGCGGAGAGCCGGGAGGGTCGCTTTCAGAGCCGTAAGCAAAGAGAAGAAATTCACGTCAAAGTGTGACTTCCACGCGTCGATGTCAGCAGAATCGATGCGCCCAAGGGGCTCCAGTACACCTGCATTCAGGATCAGTCCGTCGATGTGCTGGTACGTCTTTTGGGCCAAAACGATGGCTTGGGTGAAGCCGGTAGCATCGGTACTGGATAAGTTGCAGCCGTTGAGATAGCGCGGTGTCAGACAGCCACTATACCACTGACACACTGCATTCTATCGTGAAAAGCGTGGATGTATGCGTCTTCAGGAGCTCGACGAGTTCAGGCGTTCTCGTGCGTGATATCGCGACGACGATCGCATCCAGAGACTCAAGGAGGATCTTTGTGACGGCCAGGCCGATGCCTCTGTGTTTAACCGAGAATCAGCTGCCAATGCCGAGGAACTTTGTTTGAGAATATATGAACTTTGAAGCGCCAGTCACAACGACGACGGGTTTCCGCTGGCTGGCCATGTCTGCTCTGGAAAGAACGGTGGGTGCGGGCACGGAGAAATGAGCGTGCAGGCTGGTTATCGGAGAGGAGCGTGGGCGCCGGAGGCGTGCCGCACTCCCCAAAAAGCTTGTGGGAGCGTACGCTGACCATACTTTGGTCGGGACGCCTCGGATTGCTTTCTCACTGACAGCGCATCCGTTCTCCTCCCTCCTTCCCTCCCTCGAAACTTATGGCTGCTCGGGCGACATTCTCTCGTTTCGCGCCTGTATTGGTGAACACCCGCGCGGCATCGCGTCGACTGCCGGGTCGCGTCGCGTTAGCTCGCGGTTATGCGACCGCCAGCGAAAACTCTGTAAGTTGATCGCTCGCTGACTGAGCTTGCGATAGTCTTATGTGTCCCATTTAGATGACTGTCCGTGAGGCACTCAATGCCGCTATGGAGGAGGAGATGTTGCGGGACGAGTCAGTTTTCATCATGGGAGAGGAAGTCGCGCGGTACAACGGTGCATACAAGGTGTGTGTTCCGTGCCTAGTACAAAAATTCCTAAAAGTACTAACTCTAGTTGTGTAGGTTACCAAGGGCTTACTAGACAAGTTTGGCGAGAAGCGGGTAGTTGACACGCCGATTACGGAGATGGGTTTTGCTGGTCTCGCTGTCGGTGCTGCTTTAGCCGGCCTGCGACCAATGTATGCACTTTCCGACCGTGTTACACCGGATATGCAGTCTAACGTTCTTCTAGTTGCGAGTTCATGACATGGAACTTTGCCATGCAAGCCATAGACCAAATAGTCAACTCTGGCGGCAAGACGTACTACATGTCGGGTGGAAATGTGCCCTGTCCAGTGGTCTTCCGTGGTCCCAACGGTGCTGCTGCTGGTGTTGCTGCTCAACACTCACAGGACTATTCAGCTTGGTATGGTCAAGTTCCCGGTCTGAAGGTCGTGAGCCCTTGGAGTGCGGAAGACTGCAAGGGTTTACTAAAGGTCCGTATATGCAGCCATAACTGTCCTAGCCTGCTGTCTTACAAACCCTCGATCAGTCCGCCATCCGAGATCCTAACCCTGTTGTTTTCCTGGAGAACGAGATGTTGTACGGTGTCTCGTTCCCCATGTCCGAGGCCGCCCTCCGGGACGACTTCCTCTTGCCCATCGGCAAGGCCAAGGTCGAGCGTGAGGGGAGCGACGTCACCATCGTTGCACACAGCAAGATGGTCACCCACAGTCTTGAGGCCGCCGAGTTGCTGGCCAAGGAGGGCATCAAGGCCGAGGTGATCAACCTGCGTAGCATCCGTCCTCTTGATATCGACACTATCAAGAAGTCCGTGAAGAAGACCAACCGGTGAGCCCGTTATTGTCTTTCCTGCTTGCATTCGCTGACTGGCCTGCAGATTGGTTACGGTTGAGGGTGGCTTCCCCGCGTTCGGTGTCGGCAGTGAGATCTGCGCGCAGATCGTCGAAAGTGAAGCATTCGACTACTTGGATGCACCTGTTGAGCGTGTAACCGGTGCCGACGTTCCCACTCCTGTAAGTCTCCAATATGTCTAGACGTGCCTCACGTTAACGATGAGGATGATAGTACGCTAAAAACCTCGAGGATCTTGCTTTCCCTGACACCCCGCTTATCGTCAAAGTCGCCAAGCGCGCTTTGTACAGGACGAACTAGAGTTTAGTCTAGGGATACAGGTTTATTCTGGGTACACTGCTATGTTTATTCTTAGACATCCTGTAAGTACGGTAGGGCTTGGCATGCCTCGTGCAATACCATTTTAATATGCGGATAACCTCCATATCCGGGGTTGCTTGACAGTAGTTGTCCTCTGATATCCAGCATCCATAGATCCCCTTCCACATAAACCTAACTCGATATGTGGCGCAGACGGATACGTACGGCGTTCGCATGGGCGTCGAGGCCCTCGCAGTCAGCCAATGTTGCCACTACTGGCCCGAGCACCTTCAAGCCGTCCACCGTCACCTCTTGCGATGTGATGTGTTTCTGGAAAGACAGTGTATTGACACCACTAAACTGCCGCGCGTACCCATTCGTAGGCAGGGTGTGATTTGTACCAGATGCGTAATCTCCACAGCTGTCATGAATGAGCATATTATCCACAGCAATGGCGTAGTACAAGCATACCTTTCGGGCGAGTAGGGTCCGACAAAGACACTTCCGGCATTCTCCACGAGCGACACCGCCGCGTTTGCCTCCCGAAGATGCAGGATCAAATGCTCGGGTGCGTAATCATTGGAGAATTGCACGGCTTCTTCTACTGACGAAGCTTTGACGATCAGACTCTTTGCCACCGATTGTCGCACAATGTCGACCCGAGTCAGAGCTTTAGCCTGTTCATCTACGGCCTTCTCGATGGCCGATAACTCTGCCTGTGACAGGTTGACTGCAACTAGGACCACTTGCGAGTCCACGCCATGCTCTGCTTGAGACAAGAGGTCGGCCGCGACGAAGGCGGAATTGCAAGTATTGTCCGCGATGACCTTGGGAAGATGTAAGCTCCTAACAGGAATTCTGTGCAGAACGGGGTGCACTAACCAGCACTTCCGACGGCCCAGCAGGCATATCAATAGATACCAATGCATCCGTATCATTCTGGACAAGCATCTTTGCCGCAGTAACCCACTGGTTTCCTGGGCCAAAGATTTTGTCTACCTTCGGTACCGTCTGTGTTCCATATGCCATCGCAGCGACGGCTTGACCTCCGCCGGCTTTCAAAACTGTCGAAGCTCCAACCAGTTTGGCGACGTACATCACTTCCGGCGAAACGCTGCCGTCCGGCTTCGGCGGCGTGGCGATGACGATCTCCTTGCACCCAGCGACTTGGGCAGGAATGCCCAACATCAAGGCCGTGGACGGTAGAACTGCCGTTCCGCCCGGGACGTACAGGCCGACCCGCGCGACGGGGCGAGCGAACCTGGAGCAGACGACGCCAGGCATAGTTTCTACTTTCAATGTAGAATTCTGTGTCTGGGCCTCGTGGAACTTGCGGATATTCGCGTATGCCTGGTCGATTGCTTGCCTGACCTTGTCGTCAATTTGCATTGTGTCTTCGGGGAACGGCGCGTGCATGATGGGGGATGTGAGCTTCGCCTGATCAAACTTGGCAGTCAGCTCGAGGAGCGCGGCATCCCCTCGGATGCGAACGTCGTCGACGATAGGCTTGACTTTAGATATCATCTCGTCGGACTTGAGGACCGGTCTCCGCAGGAGCTGGTTGCGCTCGGCGCTGGAGACGGTGGATAGATCATACGTCCTCATGCGGATGAAGTCGGTACTTGCACCACTAGGTGCGGGGGCGGGCACGGGCTGCGGGGCTGGTTTAGGCGTGAACTGTGGTTTGGCATTGCCTGGTCTGCGTGTCACCTTCTTTGCCTTCCTGTCTAGTGACCGCTCAATGTCAACGATGCTGACGCCAGCGGCAACGCAACGCGTCAGAGCAAAGTAAAATAGGTCAGCAGCTTCGAACGCGACTTCTTCTTTCGACTCGGCTTGGCACAATTCGTCTGCCTCTTCCATGATTTTAGATCGCAACAAGGTCGGATCATTGAAAAGTCGCATGGTGTATGAACCCTCAGGGGCAGAGGATAGCCTGGACTGCAGAGTGGTTTCGAGCGCTGACAAGCCAGACAGACCGCCGAAGCAGGATGGGCGGTTGAGGTGACAGAATCCGGACCCGTGCTGGATGACGGAGAACTCGAGCGAATCGGAATCACAGTCCAGGTGGATATAAACGACGTCCTGGGTCGAGCCCGAGGTCTCTCCTTTTCTCCATAGACCATGTTTGCGTGACTGGTAGACTCCCTTGCCGGTGATGATACTCTCCTTTATGGATTCCACGGAAGAATATACCAGTCCAAGCGACTTGCCGCCGTGGAGATAAGATGATACGACTGTCGCAAAAAGACCATCTGGTCTGTCCGATGTGATTGGGGACAGGAAGGCCTCGCCCACATTGATCTGGTCCTTCGTAGATGCCCCAAGTGTAAGTTGAGATGTCGGGAGCACGAGGACAGATTTGGCTCCGAGGATCTTGCGGATAGTCGACTGAGATGGTTGTTCAGGAGCAGTCGGAAGCACGTAGACGGAAGACGACTCGGAAAAGTATCGCGTTACGGACGAGATCAAGTCGAGATCCAAGGCGGGCGTCTTGATTAGGACGCCGGACACACCTTCGCGGATTTTATCAGTAACTGCACTGACATTTGCGACATCGAGCAGGAGCAGCAACCGCTCGGCAGGCAGGGTCCCAATAATCTCTTTAGCCCATGCCACTGGGACAATTACCCTTTCCGCCCCTTCGTCCAGGAACGCCACAATCTCGTCCAGATTGAAGGACGAGTCGTGATCGAAGAGGATGTACCGTCTGCATGTCTCGCTGACCGCGACCTGAGCCAGCGACGGTACTATAACAGGCCCAATGCGAGCCAGTGCGTCGACGAGAGCGCTATCCGCATTCTCGAGCAGGGGCAGGAAGACAGACATGAAGAGCGAAGGCAAAATCTCAGCTCCCCTATTCGACAACACTAGATAAGATAAATGACTCGACGATCTGGCATTCAGCACAAATTGATTATATTAACATACCAAACCGACATGGCCTTGTAGTGTAGCGGTCCTATCACTCCGGATTCTGAATCAGGTTGCGTAACGAAGTTACGTGACAGACCCGAAATTCCGGCAACCCAGGTTCGAGTCCTGGCAAGGCCTTTTTTGCTTGATGTCCCTCACATTGGTCGTTATCCGATTCCGCATGGAAGGCACTGCCACCAAGCCGGCTGTATGACATCATATGCTTCTTCTAAGTGCTGGAGAGAGCTTGCTTACCTGGAATCACATTTCTTGACTGTCTTAACGATGTCGCTTTTCGTTAACCTACCAAGTATTCTGTACGCCATACCACGGAACCCTGTCACAGCCATAGGGTTACCTTTGACCCTTGGACTGCTAAGCGGCAGGAGCACAAAGGAAGTTACGCAGACTCAGTGGTACAATGCTCGTATATTTATCCTATATACCTAGAATGCCTACTAATACGCTTCATGCAGTGCTTGTATACGCCCCCGGGACGTCCGCCGGCAAAGGTCTTCCCCACTGTATGGCCTCTACTTTACATAGGTACGTACGGATAGGCGTACTAACGGTGGCTTGGCTCACGAGTGTCGTCCATATAGCTATGGGCTATGCTTCACATCTTGCCATTAAAGCGTACGATTCTGCGGTGTCTGATGCAGTCAGGTATGTCCAGACAATTCGCGCCGGTACGAAGCAAACGTTCTCATGTCGAGTTGAAGGAACGAGATATCGCTGGGACTTGGCCTATACTACACTCAGCTTGCTTTCAACTGCCTCTGGACACCCTTGTTCTTCAACTTTAAGCAGGTAAGTCGTCAGCCCACCCATTGACCCACTGAAGTTACGTATGTTCACTCCGCTTTAGGTTGGCTGGGCACTAGTGGACAGCGTCATTCTGGCCGGGACAACCTTCTACATGACCGTACGTTTTACATTTGATGTAATTGTGCAAGCCACTGATGGTTGCACCCATCCCATCCTCAGAGAACTCTAGATGCCCCGACCTCATCAAAGACAACGTACCTCTTGCTGCCATATTGTGCATGGCTGTCCTTTGCGACATATCTCAACGGCGGCATTTGGTGGTTAAACCGTAACCGTACTCTCAATAAGAACATGTAATCATAATTTTACAAATCGTTCGAGACAGGACGTTGCCAGTATCGGTACAACCGTACTGTCTTGACGCACTGTTGTACTAGGAATCCAGACCACAATTTAGGAGAGCGAAGTCGCGGTTCCATGGAATGATGGTGCAAGAAAGGCGAGCCAATCCGGAAGACAGTCCCCAGAACACAGAGTCGCCGAGACACGGAATAGTCAAGCTACATGAAGTCAGTGAAGGCCGACCACAGGTACTCAGCGCCGTTTTCTTGTCTTTGCACGCAGTGCGGCCTGGGGTTCGACGCCCTAGACGGACGTAGAATCAAGTCAGTAACAATATGTGTTCAGTCATACCTTTCGTTTTTCTCCAACGCTATCCTGCCTTACAGACTTGCGTCCAGCAACCTTCTGGTCGGGAGAAAGAAGTCCTGACTATCTAAGAGGAAATATCTGGCTTACTGTTCGTCTCTTGGGTCTGCCATTTCCAGAGGGCGCAGGCGAGACCGTTCTATCTCTCTTTCGCAGACTCCTGCTCGACATCGGTGGTTCACCTCTTTCAGCCGCACTTGAGCCTGCAATTTCCGTCTCTACTGGCGGGGGAGGCGTCTTGCTAGAGATACCGGGGGATATTCGTCGATCATCGTCGAAGTCGACGATCTCGTCTGACCCATCCGTGGCAAGGCTTGTGAAAGTTGTCCTGCTCAAGGCCGTGGTGTGATGCGACATGGGAAGCGTAGCGCCGCTAGCTGCATCAACTGCGATTCTTCCATTAGCAACACGGTGATGCGCTACAATGGAGGCAGGTGGCAGCATTGCTGTGTTCGTCGCCTTCGGTGTGTATCGTACGACAGCGGGACCAGGGTGTTGATAGTATACGTCCGAGGCTGGAGGGCTGGAACCTGTAGGAGGCAGAACCGCACGACGCGGTGCTGGTGTGGTTCGACTATTCGTGCCTATGTCATCATTGTTGGTAGACTACGTTTATCGCATATTAATTTCGAGCCAAGTGATGAGGGGAAAGATACTTGCCGGTACATCTCTGTCCGGCGCCTTTGTGAAAGTAACTTGAGCTTGGACGTGAGCCGGTGAGCTGCTCATCTGGGAAGATAGCCACTGGTCCAAGTCTATCATCGAACGTGATTCGTTGCCCGCCTGGGCCTGAGCTCTGGCCTGAGGGGCGTGTCAAGTTCACAAACATGACCTCCCTGAGTAACCCAGTCAAATACCTGCGAGTTCAGGTGGCGAGCAAGAGTGGATTCAAGTAGCTTGTTTCTCGCTTGCAGAGCCTTCAGCGCATTCTCTCTCTTCCGGGAAAGTATGGGTCGTGTCTAGAATTCCGGTAAGCCATCTACCACTCACCTTTCTGAGTTCATTCCCTTTGGCGATGAGCTCTTGCTCGTAAAAGGACTCTGTAGTTCGGGTAAGGTTGCCGAGGAATGTCTTTTCTTCTTCGCTCTACAGAAAGAGGAAAGTCACTGGAACGCATATTGGCGCAACAACTGGGATGTACCAGGTTCCCGAGACTGTATCGAGAAGCGATGGTCTTCGCCCGCTCTTCGAGTGCCGCTTTACAGGACTCTAGATTTCGGAGCCGGACTTCCAGGTCTTTGATAACCTCCTCGCGCTGAAGTGATAGTTGCTCCGCCCGTTCTGCTTCCCTAAGAAGATTCTGATATTTGAGCTCGAGCACATGCATATCTTCCCTTAGCTCTTGCCGTGATTTCATTGCCTCGATATGGGCATGTGCCATTTGAGAGGCCCGCTCGCTTTCGGCCTTCAGCTTGAGCTCAGCTCTCTCTTGCACACGGCGCAGTTCGACTTGCATATCTGCCAATTCCTTGACACCATTCTCCCGTACAGATCGAAGCTCGGCGGCTGCTTCTTTTAGCTGCAGGTCCATATGCGATTTCTGCTCCTGAAGTACGCGGATATCGGCTGCCGCAGTACTGGTGGTTGCTTCAAGCTTTTGCTGCTAGAGTATTAGAACGAGACACGGCCGTTGCTTAAGATACCCTACCGCGTACGATACTTCGGCCGTGATGAGTCGCTCCTGTACGAACGTAAGTAACTCAAGTAAGGTCTGTGCATTAGTACGAAACCTGAAGATTGCCGTTGGATTCCTTCGTGATCCGTAGCGTTACACTTTGATCGTCAAAACGTTCTTGTAGAACCTATGTAACGATAAGCATTGTCCGAACGAGACATCGTTTTACCTCACTTGAGACTGGGTGAGAGCATCGTGTAGTCTGGAATGATGCTGAGTACAATATCCACAGTGGCGTAAGATCCATACTTCTCTTTACACCCATCCAGCTCTTTGCCTTTCTCCTCCAGGCACGTCTCTAACTTCTGAATGGTCTGTTTTAGCGATATATTTTCCGAGTGTAGACTCTCCTTCTCGGACTTCAGGCCCTCCGAACGAGCCTGCGTCTCAGCCAACGCCACTTGCAGGGCATGCAGATTTTGGCCCTGCGCATTGAAATCACGTTGGCAAGTCAACACCCTGGTAATCTGAATGAGTATACTGTGCCAGTGAGCGCCATGATCATTACTTGTCTCTGAGCTCGTCTGCAGCTGAGGCCGCTAATTCACTGCGGGTTCTGACTTCTGCTAGCTCGATGGATGTGTCCTTCAACTTGGTAGATTCATGTAACAGTTGCTTCTCCAGCTCCGACAACCTATACCAATCAAGGCATAAGCTTCCGACAAGTCTTCGGGACCCTTTTATCACTTATTATGCAAACTTGCGGAAGTGCTTTGTTCCGCTTTCAGGGAGCAGGTTAAGCTAGTGACATCCGCCTCCCGTTGTCGTGATTGTTTAGCGTGAGATCGCAGTCTGTATAGAAGAACAAAGTGCTTGTCAGAATTGATTCAGCTAATATGACGGAGGCCAATCACTCCGTATGTGCCAGCTCTAGACTTTGCAACTCGAGCCTCTGATTATCAAGCTGACGTTGCAGATCAGCATTTCTTCATGCAGAGGACAATATCTTCAGCGTAAGTGTAAGATATTAGATCGAGGCTACATACCGTCCTTTCAGTGCGTCGGTCCCCTCTAGCTCTTCGTTGCTCCTAGCCAAGTCGTCGCTCAATTGATCGACCCTGCAGGTGAGTAATTTACAGCTGATTTGTAATATAATAATCTGAATCGGCGCACCGTTGCTGTAGTTGCATAAGGTCCTTTTCATTATTGGCAGCGCTCACAAGAGCATCCACGAGCTCTGACCCCTGGTCCCGTAGGCGAGTTGACATATCCGACAGGCGTGAAGCTGACCTCTACGAGTCAGTTGGGCATAGTTTGGTTTCCGTACGTACTTACTCATCTCGCGCATTACATCAGCAGAGCGACAGAGAGCTTCCCGGTCCCCTTGATGAGTTTCCTCCAGCTCTCGAATACGAGTCCTTGCTTGGATCAAATCTGAACCACTTGAGGTCAATTTGTCTCTTAGCAAGTCCACTACTTGTTGCGCTAAGGATAGGTAGGTGAGAGTACAGCCTATTAAAGATACATCGCTGCGCTTACTATGGGTATTCTGGGCCTGAAGGTCCTTGATGATATCTCTGGTCTTAGACGCACGTACGAGTTCTCCGTCATCGTCGATGGAAGGCTCGATTCCTGTCCGAACCAAGTTCGAGCAATCACAAAGGATGAAGTTACCAAATCACAGACTTTGCAGAGCATCCGCTACAGTTGTCCGCAGGTCGGCTAATTCGGGAAGGGAGGATTTCGCGGTCCTCACGAATCCGAATGCGTCTTCCGATCTCGACTGAAGTCCCTCCATGACCGATTGTAGCTGAGCTATACTATTTGCGTCGAGCCGAATATAGTAAGCACAACAACAGTACATTGCGATTGCAATACCTTTGACGACTGGACTCGAGACTCGCCAACGAGTTTTGTCTGAATTCCTTCCAGCGTTGTTCGATATCGTTCTTTTCATTTTGGGATCGCTGCAATTGTTGCTCCATCTCTGTTACTTGTCGCCGCTTCGCGAGAGGCTGTCAGAATACGCTCGGACAAAGTATATGCGCTAGAATGAATACCAGTTCTTCTCGTTCTATCTTCGCGTTCCTCAAATCTGTTGCCCCTCGCATCATAACAGTTGATATATCGTCATGCTGATCGTTGAAACTGAGTTCAGAGGCTGCTCTCGCATGTGGTCCTGCGGATGCCCTCGGGAACGAAGTAGGTATAGCACGTCCGGCAGTAGAACCATGATCGGGGCGATTAGTGTATCCCCAGCCGTCAGACCCCACTTTTGAAGGAGCTAAAACACCGCGTTAGATTTCCACAGCAAGTTTCATAGGCGCACTCTACCCAGATCAGCTGGTGCCCGTATGTCCACACTGGCCGGGTCTGCAGTATCCTCTCCATGCTCCGTCTTGACGATACCCGTACCGGATGAAGTTCGTTGATCTCCAACAGATTTAACGAGTATTGGGTCCACTGAGCCACGCCCGGCTATCAAAGGGTATTGCCTGGGTACCAGAGGAATGTTGGAGGAAGTATGGGTTGAATCCGGATATGCTTGTCGCCTTGCAGAGGGCGCGCCGGGGTCAGGTATGACCTGTGCCAAAGATTTCTCTCCCAAAGCAGGCCATATGCTCCGAGTTGGAACGTGATGATAGCCCTGGGATTGGGGGTCCAACGAAGTAGCGCCAAGTTCCGACGCAGCTCTCGCATCACCAATTAAGCGCACTGGAAAGGCTAGCCGGCTTCTGTTTCCTGTATTGGTATTCTCATCGCTGGTCGAGGTTGTTGGTGCCGAGTCAAACTGCGTCCTGAAAGAGAAACGAGGATGAGACTTTCCGCTACTAGCATATCCGTTGAAGAGTGGTCGATTGATCCCAGGAAAGCTTCCCTCAGCCATGTTAGAGATCTACACAGACACGGTGCATATACTTCGAGGGCTGGTGTTCCCGGAGACGACGTGAATGGGAAGGACGCGTCGGGCGACGCGCTGTGGGTCAGGATAGACTCAGAGCCGCGAGACGCGCTGATGTCTTCCGAGCATGTGACAAGATAGGTTGTGCACGTGACACGTGTCTACTAATAGTATAAGTATTCCGATCTGAACCTCCTGGCAGTCCTGCATATAGTATATACTCGATTCGACGCATATCATAGCCTACACATACATCATGGAGCATGTAGACATGGATTTGGAAATTGGAAACACAGGGGAAGAGATAGGTTAGTAATACACAGTCCTACGAAACGGGTTACAGCACATGGTCGTGGTCTTCAGAAATAGCCTAGTGGATTCGGAACGTTGCGGACGAAGTAGCCCTGAACGACCAACCTCAAGAAAAGTACATGAGAGTCGTCATCTTCTGATGAAGAGGCTTGAACCCTCTCTTGAACTTGTCTAGACTTTGATCTGCCGCGCCTTCCTCAAGATTGGTCGCCGAGTCGGAGAAGTCGAGCCGTTCGTTGGGATCATAATGATTTTTGGCCCGGGTGCACACGATGTCCGCATCTGTGAGAGAAACTCAAATGAGGGCCAGCCTTGAAACAAAGATGCTTCATTCCGGACTTACAGTATACTGGGGCTGGAATCGACACCGATCTGGTGGAACGGGCGTAGACATGGCAAAGTGCGAAGGACAAAGACTGGAGGCCATCCGGACTATGGCAAAGATTTAGTATCAGGATGGATTTGAACACACATCACATAGAACGCACGTTAAGTTATTCTCGTCATAAAGCACATTGTAGTGGGCTGGCCGAGAAGTTCCCAGCAGACCCCCGTGGCTCTGAAGATAAAAATCGAACTCCGTAGGGTGCGCCACGTCTCGGTCGATGACAGTGCCGGCGGGACAGTTCCCACTCTTCCTGTCTCCATCGCTGGGGTTCTTAGGGAAGAAGCGGACGTGATGCCTCTTGCCAACGACAACAACGGTGATGGTCGGCTTAATATTCAACTTCTGGCAAGCCTCTAGAACGCGACGTGAGTCAACTCCTCACAGAAGACAAATCAAGGGGTACTCACGCTGTAAGAGCGGAAGCTCTGATGAGAGACCGCGTCAATAGTGTCCATCCGCACTTGGGTCACACATACCTAAGTCAAGAACCTGCTTGAACTGCCCCTCCGATACTCCATCTACGAGCCCGAATGTCAGGGTTGAAATGTTCAAGTCAAGCACAGTGCTTACCTCGATAGAAGATAATTCTCTTTGGCACGGGATTAGCCTTCTTCTCAACGCCTCGACGGTATTTCATGTACATGTCGAGCATATGCTGTGTAGCAAGGAGGTGGGATCAGCAACAGGGAGGAGTCAGATATACCACTTACATGCGCCATATCACCCAGATCTTCTATTATCTCCTGACGCGATGTTTGGACTCGCGACGCTGCGATATACTTCGCAGTGTCGGAGTCGACGTTCGCCACCAGAGATGTGAAGGAGGGGCGACCCTCTGAACCGGGAGCAGGATGAATGACATCTGCGCCTGTAAATCGGCGTAAGAATCGTTCACAGAGCTGAACAGCGATGTATTACTTACCCATGACTATGGTTGGGTTATTCGGATCCGTGAGGAATGGAGCGGAGGGCGGGTCAGGGATAGTATTGATACCACCCAGCTTCACGTTGAGCCTACGCTTCCTAAGATGGTTTGATCAACTAAAGGTTGCATAAGACTTACTTGAGAGAAACATTTGCATAGTATTGAGGCTTCGCGCGGAAGCAGCGAGAGCTCTTCAAACATTGCGTCGCCACTCCCATCTATATAAGATTCGGGCAACAGTCCTTTAATTTGAGGGTCAACTCGACGCACCGTAATGTCCCCGAAACTGAAATATGCAAGTGGGTGAATGATGAAGATTGAGTTAGGAAGTCGTAGATGAATACTCACTGCTTGATAGCAGTATAGATATCAGTCCCACCTTCGGGCAGTACTGCGACGATCAGACTCGGAGGCGAGCCCGTCTTAGTCATGCACTCCTTTCCTGCCTCACGAAGTTGCTGAAGGGATCATCAACAATGGGTCACCACTATAAGCTATTAACCTTGACGTACCGCGCCTATATTGCCCTGACCATTTTCCCATCGAACTATCGGGTTCGGGTCCTTCACAACCATGCCTATGGGCTCACATGTGAATCAACACATACGCAGCAGGGGCCAGTCAGACTTACCAACGTCTCGACACGCAGCCACGAAACCCTCGACCATCTCTCGGACGTTGTTCGCGTTGAAACGTTGCTGCCGTTCATACACAACTACGACCCACTTGTCGATACTCGCCGGGCTGTAGAACTTCTTGTCTATCCTATAGCGACATCAGTAAGATTATCCAATGTGGAGGCCCTAGGCACGCACATATTCCAGGCGCCGTTCGCTGGCTTCTAAACAAATTGTCACTACATGGCTCACAGGAAAAATTCGCTGACGCGCACGATGGTCGGTTGGCGACTTCCTTTGCCATACCGCAAAGTTGGAGTGTCCAGAACACGGGCGTTGATGGTGAGGGCGCCCGCAGCCTCATCGACTACCATCCCGAACTGCCGGACATACTCGGATTGCCCGTATTGAAGGACCTAGAAGCCTGAGCAATGAGAAGGGACTATAAGCAATGGAAGAGATGTGGACTGACGCTTAAGCCGTTCCTGATGCTCTGAAGACGATCTTCCGGTCTCTTTGTAGCAAAGTCAAGCACATCTTTCGTTTTCTCCGGCGGAACTTGCTTTCTCATGATTTGTCCTGGAGGCACGACACACAATTCTAGGGGGATTAGAGCACCAGAGCCAACCTTCGAAATTCGTCAATACAATCAAGTGGAGCTGGCTGCAGCCAATGCATACCTCCGCGCAGAGCACTTCCGGAAATTGGAGTCGCATATTGTATGTTTTCTGAAAGTATTCTGCCACGGTCATGGTACCACCCTCGCGCATGGTGAAAGTCAGATCGCTTGCTCCAGCTGTCGACAGCTTCTTTAAGACTCTCGGCGTGCGACTTTGCTGACCTTCACCGGGAGTCTTGGTGAGAATGCGGATCCCAGAGATGAATCTTTGCAAACGGAGCCTCTCCCTGTCTGGGAAGCCTCTACGAGGAGCTAAGGCAAGAGGCTGATCAGAACGGCCAACAAACTCAAGACATAACTTCAAGAGTGAGCCGCTCTTGTACATCGTTCCAGTGGAGATGTCGACGTTGATCAACATCCGCCCAATTGCCGGGCGTATGGACTGGAAATAACCTCTCCATAGGACGATTCCAGATCCAATGTCTTTCGTTTCCTTGTCCGTGAAGAACGATCGGACATTGAAGGGATAATTTAGAGTCGGCTCCATCCTGATAACGACGTTTAAGGCCTAATCACCTCGTCAGATTGGCTAGCATGTGGTCATACGTTCGGTGACATTACCGTTATGGCTGTAAGAACGGCGTTGTCGTGCGACTGCTTTCCTTCCAAGAATCGAGCCAGAACCCTGCAAGTCCTTAGCAGGCACGCAACCGTGATATAGGATCGAACTCACTCTGGATTGATCTCCGCCACCTTGGTGAGTCGTATCTTGTAAGTCTTTTTATTAAACTCCACTTCGAACTATAGCGATAGTCAGTACGACGTAGGAATAGCGTAATGCGCAGACGCCACCTCGCGGCTAGGAGTGTTCGGCCCGAAAGGGAGCTCTCGCGCAGCAAATAAATTCTTGCGACCGTCGTAGACGGCCCTCGGAGTAAAAATATTCGCTGCTACTTTCAACTGGAGCGTTGTAATGAGCTCCATATTCAGCCTGGCCGGTAAGGTCTTTTCCGAAGGCGATATAACTACATCGGGTGGCAGGTAAGGGAGAGATCCAGGACATTCGCATTATGAACTGACTCACCGACTATCAAAATATCAGATGCCAATTGAATGAAGAAGCCCACATCGAGAACAAAGAACAAAGGGCGTACCATCATAGTGGTGAATAACTGCCTCAGGAATCTTGACAGCAAAATGGTTTGTATATACTTCCATCCGTCTCCCGGATGTTCCAAACGCCGTTCGCTTCACGCCGACCGTCGTAACATGCGGCGACGTGGTATAGACAGCCGATCCCCCTCCAGAGGCACCTGCCGCCGCACCACCACGAGTGGGCGGACCGCCTCTGGAAGGGCCTCCGCGGCCTCTACCACCTGCTCCAGCAGGCCTCGGACCCATGATTTATGTCGGGTAATGAAGAACTGGAAAAGAGTATAGGTGTGTTGGTGGGTGTGGCTCGCGGAGCAAATGCAATGCAGGTGGCTGGAACGCGACGCGATCGAGCTTAAATTACTGTGACAGTGAAGGTGTGACCGATGCTTCTATCGATGGCATTGGCCCGCGCGTGCCGAGCCTGCACAGGCTGCACTGCTTTATGGCCAAAATGCTTTTGTTCTCTCACCCAGACAGGAGCCCCTGACTGGCGCTTTGTCCAGCTTGTCCCCGACGTCTCATACTCCTACAACACGCTTTTTGATCGCGGAGGCCCAAGCAAGGGGTGCTGCAACGTAAGTCATCAGCTTGTTGTCCACTTGGACAAGTGGGACCGGATAAAGCTTCTCCGCGGTCGTCCAGGCCGGGCAGTAATACAAAGGTTGGACCAGCATGGAGCCCACATGCCTATCCTACGTAAATCCAAATACCACCGTCCTTGGGAGCGTGGCCGTCTTCTGATCTATTGATGACTTCATGGGCCATATCTGCGACGTCGAGCGATAACAGGACGGCGTTTCGTGGGTGGTTATAAAACAAACATTGTTGGCACGCTGCAGCTGCGATGCATTACATTTTTACCCATTCTGCATACACTATGGATCGCCATAGCGGAAATCTCCGAAAGGTGTGAGGGCCTAGAGATCTTGCGGAGGCAGATGGTCGCGTCCGAAGTCTCGTATGGCTGTGCCACAGTGCAAGCACCAGCAACATCACAGTGGTCGTACTGTATCATGATAGTAGCAATTTGAAGGTAGAATTGAGTCTACACTATGACTGGTCGTACATTATGTGGGATCTGTACATTCAATTACTGTATCGGTCGTAATCGAAAGGCATTGTTTGAGGAAACGAGAGATGTTTCACAACGAATTAAATAGAACGTATGTTTGCGCTGGTATGTTCGACAAGGTATACATGTTCCTAAGAACGTGCAGAGAAGTCCTCGAATTAAATGTGGTCCAGAGATTGTCGTCGGTGACCGCTCTGTAAGGCAAACATGAGCACTTACAATATCTCGTAAGAAAATAGCCTTACCGCGAGGGATGCATCCGAAGAACTCGAGTCTGCGCTTGCTCGTGGACGCGAAGAACCCCTCTTGAACAAGCTCATCATTCTAGCTCGAGAAGTAGGCCTTGGTAATGGGTCATCCGCAGACGTCGAATTCATGTCCTCGTCGGGACGATATGCTTCTCGTGACAGACGATCAGGCGGCATCGCTTCCGCAGGAGCTGCTTGGGCTTTTATGGCGCGTCCCCGAATTCGCCTCATAGGGGAAGACGTGCGGGATCTCTGCTTTTGGTCCGGAAGACTTTTTGATGGGTCAGCACCGATGGGTTTCGACTTGACTAGTTTCCTGGGAGAGCCATCCAGTTGGGCGTCAAGGTACGATTTCCCTTTGGACGCAACCCATTGCGTCTTGGAGAAGAGCTCTCGCGCGACAGGTAGCACAGGGACCAGCGGTTGTTGCAATGCCATCTTCACCCAACCCTTCCAGCTTGGATCGGATGGAATAAATTGGTCCACCAGCTCTTCAAACTGAAATAGCTGAGCGGAGGTATCGATTATCGGGAGAATACAACTCACACTCCATGTTTGGTTACGATAGAGAAGCTCTCGTGTCCTGATGTGAGCTCCTCTACAAAGGAACGAACCCTGTTTCCAGACGCTAAGCAACAAGTGTAGACTCCGGGAAGAAGTGAGCACGTAGAACCCCACAGCAAGAGGCATTCGTACCTATCAACCCGCACTCTTATGAAGGTCTTCTGCGAAGAACGCGTCTTCATAAGGGCAGCGTCCCCTTCTTCCGAGGCATTCCGTGGCTTGATGGTATCACTCCTAGTAGAGGTCCGACGGCTCAAAGGATGGGCTTGGGTGGCACTTTCGCCAAAGGGGGCATATGAGTTCGCCCTCTCCAGCCTGGGGGCCTGAGAGCTTGAAGACGCGGCACTACGTAGATCTGTGAAGGACCTGGAGACGCCCAGTCGTCGCAAAGGCGGGGGTGCCAGTCGATTGATGTCCAGCGAGGCATGGGCAGTTTGCACCGGTCTAGCCGAATCTAACGAAGATCGGGCTGGCCGCTTCGGTCTCAGGATTGGCACCGCGGCGGCTTCCTCAGATGTCATCGACTCCGGTTCCTCCACATGTGCTTCCATATGTGCTTCTTCTGAATCTCGTCTCCTGTTCTTTCGACCTGGCCATAGATATTCCATAATCCTCCGTCCGACCCTCGTGTCTATCTGCAGTCGCATTGGATGGAATCTCAACTCAAAGTCTTGGAAAACGGTGATCCCGCCAACGGGCGCTAGTACGATCCAGTGAGCCAAGAGGAAAAGACCACGCTGAGGCCGCCCGTGAGTGCTATACCATGGATTCAGTCAAGATGCACTCACCTTGACCAGGGGATGATTACTTGGTTCGTTATGCTTCGATATGATTTCAGCCCAAACAGCAGTTGAAGAGCCATCGAAAGCTTGGAGATCGCCGATGGCGAGGTTATTCTCCGTAGAGCTATCTTGTCGACTTAGCCATGTGTAGTCGATCTGACGGAGAGACAATTTCGCGAGAAGATCCCGTTGATCGTCAAGCATTCTCCACGATATCTCAGAGGAAATGGCTTGTAGCAGAAGGGCGGACTTGTGATCAGAATGGCCTTCGCGTTTATCTTGAGCCAGTTTGATGGCGTCGAAGATCAGGTTCAATTCTTCGGCCAGAAGCAGGATATGTGCTTTGATCTTGAGCATCTCAATCCTGCCGTCGGTCCCCAATTGACGAAGACGCGGCTCCACAGACCTCTCCGTCTCCATGACGTGCCTCAAACGGGACTGCAGATTTGACACAACATTCGCAGCTTCACTAAGGTCGGTGAAGTCATAACGGAACAATAGTGTTTCCAGCTTATCTAGTCGGGTCTTGTGTGTGGCGTCCGTGAATAGTATCAAGTCGGTGACTATGTTAGATATGGCCTGGAAATGTTGATCATCCGCAGAGACGGTGAACTGGGGGACATGAACTTGTATGAGGTCCTATGCGACAATTCAGTATCGTGACATATTCATAGCGGTGCTTTTTACCGTCTGATGGTGCAAGTGACTGTCGCTATCCTCAGTAGTCGTTACACGAGACGATACATCACTTCGCAAACGAAGTCTATTGAATTTGTCGTAATGGAAACTGGCGTCCGTTTGAGGGACGAGACGATCAAACTCGCTGCTCTCGCATCGCAGATCGATAAGCACTTCAAGAGGGACACACCCATCCCCGGGTATAGCAGTCCCTGTGGGCGAGAAAGTTTGTAGGCCAGTTAGAGAAGTATATGTCCTGCAATGATCGGTTGTAAGTATGTATTGCATAGAAGGTGAAGCAGAAACACCTCGTGAGGATCTTCCCGCTGACCGGATCCTCTGCATTTGCGTTATCCATTATGCCGAAAGATTGCAATTTTGCTTGCACAGCTGCGAGGACGCAGACGGCGTTCTCGCTGGCCTCACTCCGCAATACGATCTGGGGCTTAAGAAGCAGGCAGAAATGGCTTTGGCGTAACGAGACCCCGTCAGAGCATCCACCCAAGGGATCGACAATCCCCGGTTCCGGGAGTGGCTGCCGTGAGATCTGAACAGATGTCTTATTTTCATCGTCACCTGCCAATCTGCGGAGGAATGCCTGGGCGGCAGCCTGAGCGCTTGCTCCGGGTCCTTTCGGTTTTGACTCATCGACTCCTTCCTGGGAGACAAATGCGCCTGATCTCGCCTGATCTCGCATGAACTTCACAGCCCTGGCAAAGGAAGCGTGAATATCGATCAACGATCAGAGCCTTACGCTTACCGTGTCGCCATATGATATTCAAAGCCTCGGCGGGTGCGCGAGCAATAGTAATACTGTAGGAGAATCTACGGTATTCTTCAATACGCGACAGATCAAAGGATCCACAAGAAGACGCACGTCGCGAGTGGAGTTACTCATGAAGATCTTCGGGCAATGAACTTGGTACACGTTATCAAATTCTGCCCACTCTGCAGATGACACTGTGTCCAGAGGCATGTAATAGCTCTGCTCCCTATGAATGCCTGGCCGCCGATTCTCGACGTCGATAAGCTGGACCTGTGCGATATATGCCTCTAACAGTGCGATCATCTTTCGAGTACTGGCTTGATTATCGACGAAGCCGGCGTCCTGTGATCAATGTGAGACATGCGTATAAGTACGGGCAAGGTACAGCGACAGGACCTTCTGCGGCCCCGTATTCGTCGTATCACCCTTGTCATGCCATGCATGTCGCCCACTCGCCTTGCTTAAAGTGCCAGCAAGTTGGCGCTGCAGCTCACGGATACGTTCATGTGCCAGCTCGCTCTGAATACGAGACACAGCTGCGGAAGGTGAGCACCAATCTGGAGGAACCACGCGAATAGGATCTTACAGTCTTCTTTCCCGAGAAAACAAGAGTGACTATCCTCGTCCCCAAATCTGCTCTTGGAAGCATGACTTGGATTTGACGTCTTGGTCGTACTCTTGAAGTACGTAAAACGCGGGCAGGATGCAGCCGGAAGTAAATGAACAACAGGGGTGCCTGAAGATATCCAATCCGTTTCGACGTAGTCATTTTCGTCGACCCAAGCAGACGGAGTGTAGGGCATCTTCTGCTCGTGAGCCCGAAATCTGCTACTTTGCTGCGGCTTCTCCATAGGCACCGACTGTTTCAGAGGCTCTTTGAAAGTTGCCAGCATTGCGCGAAGATCCAGATCCTTCATCACAACTTCCGCCGCATAGAATGGCTTGCGCCGCGTGACTTTGGGAGGTCTAAAATCAGACCCTGGGACGACTATCTCCTGGTCTCTTTGATGCATATCAGCATGAAGGTCAGATATCAGGGCCTTCATGCCTACGAAGGAGGTGACACCATCAGCCCATGACTCATCTGATTCGTCCAAGTATACATGAGAGATGAAGACTCGCTTGACTGAGATGCGGTACTTGATAGTGGCCAGATGTCGTCCAAACTTGGGTGATTGAGGTCTGCTATGCCTATGAAGTCGGCCCTGCCTGATGGGCAGTGACAGGAAACTATCGAACAACCCCCACCAGGACCAGAAATGCGTGAACGTCTTGGGCGTGAGGTGTAGGCTGCTATACTGAGTGCGCGTTCTGAGAACGCCTTCGGTAGTCGCAGATGTCAGGGAGATGGATAAATGTATGAAGTCCGATCGGAATCCATCGTAAGAGTCATCGAAGCTCTAAAGGCCAGTATAAGAATATTGATGAAGAAGATTAGGAAGTTTATTGACCTTCAGCTCCGGGACCTTCAGTTTACGTTCCAACTTGACTTCATAGTGAGGCCTGAAAGTGAACAGGCGGCACTCTCGCTTGAACGGGGGACCATGGCATTTATCACACTCCGGCCCGCAAGATCGCTCCAGGACGAGTCCAATACCAAAGCGGACGCCCGAACTGAACTTCGCGCACACTTTTCGATACTCATGCGAATCTGCCCGACAAATGGACGTCCGATCCAGTATCGTATCTTGCCTTGTGCTAGCAGCCTCGGGGTCTTCTTCAGCCTGCGGACTACGATGGCATGTGAGCGAGTGGATGCGATTTTCATTGAAGGTGCATACTTTGGTATCACAACCAGCATTGTATCACTGGTCACTTGCACTAGTTCATGATCAGTATTCGGCATGGCTATATCCAGCCTCGTATTTCCTTGCCAACACAATGCGAACCCGGCTCCCTTATCAGAAATTTCGTACGGATCCCTGGATCCTGTATCCGCCGTCAGCAATAGTCTGTAAAGCATATTTGCTGATTAACTCACCCTTCATATGTAGATGGACTTCACCGTCAAACTTGACTTGAAGCTGCCAATGCATTGTCAACCTAATCTATAACGGCAATGGCTTAGTCGCTAGTGGTAGAACAGTAAACTTCCTCACCTTGTCCCAGAAGCCGACAGCTGGTGAGTGATCACGGGGCGCTGAGGTCAGACCATCGATGACACGCATGACGTCCTGGGTAGCAGGATGGTAGCTCACACCCCATGCAAGGTCGGTTATGCCCTTGGTAGTAACATGTATGACGGGTTTCGCATACGTTTTCACTGGCATGATAGTCTTGGGTACACTAATCGAGAAGGAGCTAGCACCTGGGCTCCCATAATGAGCTCCAAGTACGATGCATTCGTACCAGTCAACAGACTGCGCTGTTCCCATCTCTTCCGCAATGACCAAATCCGTTTCGAAGACAAACGCCGCCACCTTATCATCTTCCGCTTCGGGGATATTCAGCAGCGGCAGCGGATAGTCGCGCAATGTGATGCGGAGAGAGGCGAGCGAATAATGCAGATGCAGTGGCACCAAAAGAGTAAATTGTGTGTCCAGAGGCAAACCAGAACCCTGCAAGTGAAGGAACTCAGGTAAGGCTTCATTAGGGAAGGAGGGCTTCGAAACGTATAGAGACAACTGATGAAGCCTAACGTCGAACAATCGCGGCACGTAATCATGCACAGCGACTTCCACAAGATTGGGTACCATTGCAATATCTTCGTCCGGCACACACTCTCCGACAAGTTGTGCGTCCCGAGACTCGCGCTCAGACTGTGTATCTTGTAGAGACCGATGTCTTTGGACGTAGTCTACCGAATGAACCTGGAGTAGTCGACGATGAGCATCTTCGACGGGCACCGAATGCTTCGCGGTAAATCTAAGGCCGGAGTCAACATCTGAAATAGCAGAGGTATTCGATGATTCCGCCGCCTTCACGGTGGTAGCCTTGAGGGCGAATGCTTCCTCTCGATGGTCTCGAACCCTAGCAGATACGAAACCCGCACGGGTAATCAAGCCTAGTTTGCTCTCAAAAGGATCATCCATGGCGTCAAAACTGAAGCATTGAATCCGGACCCGAATGTCAGGTATGCGTTTTGCTTCCTCCGCCTCAGGTGGACGTATTGAGAAGTAATGAGCACTGGAAGTCATGCGGTAGAGATGTCGGAGAGCTTTCACAGAAATATTGACGTCTTGAACAAGATCCGCAAGAACGTATCCGTATGGGATCCGGAGTCGAGCGGAGTTGCCTTCAGCAGATATGTTGGGCGACACGCCTTCGGCTCCATGTACCGCTACATTCCATTGCCTCAGGCGTCCGAGTTCTTCCCATTGACCGCTGACCTCTCCCGTCCTGGAGGTACCTGCGTTATAGACCCAGAACAAACACTTCCGAAATTCTGCACTTTTCGAGATAGATGAGGAGTGAATTTTCAGGCCATCGACTCTGGTGCATAACCGTTGCCTTACAGGTAAATCACAGAGGACCTGCAAGGTACCAATGGTGACACCAGACTTGATGACAGGAGATGTAGTAGTGTGCCTATTCCCATTCTCCTCTTTGGGAGAGGAACGTTCCAGCAGTCGCAATGCTGTATACAACCCCAAAAGGAGACAGTAAGAGTGTGCAAGATGGAACTTACAACGGATGTCGGGAACGAAGATCCCGATGTCAATGGCAGTCGAGGTTGGGTCACATGAATCGCATGAGCTGCTGCCGTGTAAAGCCACTTTAGTCCGTACGTGCGACACGTTTAGGAACTCCCGCGCATCTGAGAAGGCATTACCCAGCTCTGTGCTGAACGGGTCGTCGTCGAATTCAAAATTGGTCGCCACAGCGTCCCGAACTGCGAGGTCCCAACAGTCTACCTTGACAAACGCGTATACAGTATTCGTAGACAGAGACGCTCTGGTAGCAGCAACCGCCTCACGTAATTGTGTTTCCGGAAGGTCTAGGTTTTGTCGGGTTTGCGTATGCTCCTGTAACCTCTTGAATCGCCAGAGATGGCGAGGCTGCAAAGCACAGTATTCAACTGCATACCCACTCCGGAGTACAATCCCGCGCAAAAGCCCAAGTTCTTCGGAAGGGTTGATATCCAGTCCTGCCAATAGTACTACAGCTCGCTCGAGAGAAAAGTCGAAGATAAGCCCAAATGGCAGTCTGGCATGTGGCGGGCGAGACTTCTTCTGCTGTGCAACTCCCGCTGCATCTCCTGCAAACGTCGCCATCGTCCTCAGCGCTGTAATGACGTCCGGCTGCCATAACTCGATGGAAAGGGCATCTGTCGAGCCGTACAAATCTACCACAGCAGACGACGCATCCAAACGCGCGACGCTGGCTGTACCAGCGGATGCATATCCTAATGTGCTCGCTGCACCATTCAGTTCCAGAGTTTCGAGCGACACAATAGGGAGAGAGGAAACCGTCGGCACATTAAAGCCTGCGCCTGGATACGCGTTCGTGGATGGTGGCATCGTGAGCAATCGCACAAACGTGGACTTCAGCACTGTGGAGCTAGAGATGTCAAATCGGAGGGGCATGTAGTCGACAGGCTCGGATAGTGTCTTTGACTTTGAGGTCTTGTGATCTGAGTGGTCTTGCAAAGTGATAAAATGAGAATGAACAGAGGTTACGAGCCCATCGCTCTGTGCCTGGACCATCAGAGGCGCGCTACCTTCCGAAGGGTCAGCACAAATGAGACGCGCGCATAGACTGCCTGTCTGGATGTCGAGCATAACTCGGGGGACTGGGCCACAATCCGTCGGCAGGATGGATAGCTGATTGACTGGCTTCTCAGAAGCCCTTTTACGGGATAGAATATCACAGAGCATATCCAGTTGATCTTGGACTTCAAGGTCTCCGACGGTTAGATCTATGGCCAGCAAAGCCTCATTAGGATTCTCAGTCATGTAGGATGTAGTGGGCATCAACGGGCTGGGCCAGCGCGTCGTCAATAGTCGAAGGTCCAGACTCTTCAATGACGCCAGACATAGGACATCGAGGAACGTCCTCTCCCTCAACCTTTCCACCTTTGCATCTTTCAGAGAAAAATCGAGGGCGTAAACGGCCGCGTCCAGGTGCGGATCGGACTTGGCTTCTCGTCCTAACCACTTGCGGTGTAGAGGGTTATCGATGGGATTGCTCAGGCGTAATCCCACTGAGAAATCGGACACCGTTGCCTTGTACGTTTGAGCAAGATATCCTGATTTTCCTGAAATGGTATGCCGCAGATGTACGCTTGAGATATGCACGTCAAGACAGTTCAACGTTGATAGCCATGTCTGAGTATAGCGAAATCAGGGAATTTGAACCGTAAGACAGGACGTAGTCTCACCAATTGCTTCACACGCTTCAGTCTCTGGATGGCGACAGGCTTGGGCCCTCGGCGAAGTAAATTAGGCGACTACAAGGGATGGGTTATTCACAGCTCGCTAGGTGCGACATACATTCCTTACCAGAAGGGAGTTTCTCCACGGATTGCGAGGAGGAGGTGTGATGGGCGAGACACCTACCGGAGAAGCGACTTCGGGTGACTGAGGGCTGAGGAAGAAGGAGTCTGGCTCAGCAGATCTGATGTCTTCTTCTTCGTCTCCCTTGCTTTGCTTTAGTTTCTCCAAGAGTGTCTGAAGGTCATTGACACCAAGGAACAGAGATCTCAGATTCAGAGACAGCCGAATACTGTGGGACTCTGTGGTCCCTTTCCTGGGATTGAAGCGCACTGATCCTCTCAGCTCCACGGTGCCAGGGGAGTTCAGGAAACATCCCTTAGGTAGGCCGTCTACTTATCAACCATACTTAAGGCTGAACACATCATTGATATCTTTTAATACTACGCACCCATCTCAGCCAGAGTATGTAACATGCCCGTAGGCCAAGGACGGGTGAAGCAAGCCACCCGATTGATCCTGAGAGATACGGACGCCTCTCCTTGTGTCTTCCCCCAAGCACGATCCCATGAGCGTTCTAGACTGGAGGCGAACCTGTCTTTCCAATCGATGACACTCATGAGTCGAGAATGCTTCCGCCTACGAGGGTTCGGTTGTAACCCCTCAGTCCATATAACTCGCTCAAGATGCGAGAAGGATAGTGCCGTGTGCAGAGTTGTATCCTTCAAGACCAAGGATACCCCAGAGAGAGCTGCAAATGACACCACAGCGGCGTCAAGTTCGAACTCAATTACATGAGTCAGAGGGGGCACAATCCGTATTATCAGTCGCAGGGCCATAACAACGTACGCGCGCACAATGGGCCGCATGGTGGGCTCCAAATATCCGGCGCATTTTGATATAATAGACCAGAGCCGGCGAGCGATGGGAAAGGGAGCAAAATCCGAGGCCCTTATAGGCCTGCGAGGTGGGCGAAGTGTAATAACATTCGGTGCGGCACGTTCAACATCTATCTTGAGACCCTCGATTCTGATCGCAACTCGGCTGGCAGTGTTGGAGGAAGAGCGATGGTAGGACCACCGGATACGCTCAATGTGAAGTTTCTTGTCTCCTGCGTTCACGTATATGCCACGGATAGACCGTAGACTGATGCTCCGTACCCTCACGCGGTCCGAGCAGAGCCGGAGGACGGCTGGGACAATATACGTCCGTAGGAGGAGGCCGAGGGTTATAATCCTGACAAACCATATCAGTGTGGAAGACCATGTCGAGACCGCGGAGTTTCCGAGAAGTAATGCCCGAATAGCAAACGCAGCGCAGTCTAGGTATCCAATTTGGCAGACGTCCGGCATGTGCCTCGCAAGTCCACTTCACCAGTATTCGACTGGGATGAGGTGTAAGCCGCGATATGCCAGGTCCAACAAAAGAGTCAAAAAGATGAAGATATTGAAAGAAGCGAATGAGACTGTGCAGGACCAAGAATGTACAAGCAGAGCGAGAGGGTGGCTGAAGCTGGCATTCGGACACATGTCAATGCATCGGCGGCAATGTCCAGTGGCGGTGCAGACGTCTGAGGCAAGACTTTGTATTCCTCCCGCTGGCAGGTCACGTAGGAGAGGACCCCCGATAATTGGTATACAGTCGGGTCCCTCTTAACCCATACTTCTCATAGTCCATAACTCCTTATAACCCATAGTATTTTGGCATTGGTAGACAGTAAATTGGTACCAAAAACCCATAACTCCCTGATAACCCATAACCCATACCCTCCTGGAGGGTCCATAACCCATAATTTGTGCTATTTTTAGCCTGATTAGGCACATATGAGAGCACATTTACAATGTTTGAATTGATTTTGTCAAGAAACTCATTCATTCCAACAGAAAACAGTGCGCATATGGCGATATGTACCCATTTCCAGCAAGTAGTGATGCCGCGGTCCGGCTCGGTCCAGTTATCGGCCAAAACTTCTGAACATGGTCCTATTGCCAGAGCAAATGTTCCATAGAGATGCCACTCCAGATCAGGACGAACGTATGAGCGAACCTTCTACGCCTAAATTGGAGAAGGAATTGGAGATTCAAACAAAGCAGGATATACCAATGACACTGTCTGAACCAAGCCCAGTGAAATTCAAGGATGACCCCATGGAAAACGTATCCATGACAAAGGAAAATGAAGGTCCAACTGAATCAAAGGTTGATCCAACATTGATCTCTCACAACTACCCCACGATTGTATGCATCGACAACCCTGACCTCCAAGGCGACATTCACCCACCCAACATCATGGAAGCAGAAAGGATCATGAACAAGCGGACACATGAACCAATGATCAACAATGACTGGATTCCCACTGACAAAAGGCCGCGTCTAGACGGACAAGAACAAAGTACCCTGACAGACAGGCCATTGGAAGTCCAAGCCATTGACGTAGACCGACATGATCAAATGGTTAAGGCAACCGAGATTGACTCTGTGGTACATGATGCTCTGCAAGCCTTGAAGACAGGATCACCCCTTCCCCTCCAATCCTCACTCAATGATTGGAAACTTGAAGAAGGGCTTGTAAAATTCAAAGGACGCATCTACGTACCAGCCAATCCACAATCAAGATCTACGCAGAGAAATTGTGTCTCAGTACCATGACTCTCTTGCTGCTGGACATCCAGGACGCTTCAAGACTCTGGAATTGGTTCGAAGAGACTATTGGTGGCCAGGAATGTTCGTCTTTATCCGCAATTATGTTGATGGTTCCCCATCCCTGCCCCAACACGAACACACCCATTTTCTCTCACCTCGACCGACTTCATAACCGATCTTCCACCATCCAAGGGTTTTGACTCAATCATGATCATGGTAGACCACACCCTAATGAAGGGGGTAATTTTGGTGCCATGTCACAAGACGATCGATGCAGAGAAGACTGCTCAAATTTTCCATGAGAATGTCTACAGACAATTCGGATTACCTGATACCATCATATCCGATAGAGGACCTTAATTTGCGTCAAAGGTATTCCAAGAAACATGCAAGCTGCTAGGCATCAAATCCAAGCTCAGCACCGCTTATCACCCTCAAACTGATGGCGAAACTGAGAGGGTTAACCAAGAACTGGAAACCTATCTGCAGATATTCTGCGCCAACAATCCCAACGGATGGGCTGAAGTACTCTGTGATGCGGAATTTGCTCACAATCAGCGATCCCATTCAGCCAGGAACGAATCGCCTTTCTACCTCATGATGGGTTATCATCCGCGAGCAATACCCGCAGTCACAATCAATACGGAGCTACCATCAGTAGAGGAAAGGCTTAAAACGATTACAAGCTGCAAGGGAAGAAGCGATCGCCATGCACGAATTGGCG